TATTGATTTAATTTCAGAAGATTTTTTACTCGTCCAGAGCAGACAAATAAAACTGGGAACGTACTTGTTACGTGAACAGTCTAAGAAATGTCACTGCTTGGAAAAGCTGTACACGTGATTATTACTCTGAACACGAACACGATTTAAAAAATGTAGACATAAAGAGCTTCTAGGAGGCAATTGAAATGTTTTTCCAAACTACAAAAATAAACTCCTACAATAGAATTAGAATTTAGATTTTCAAGAAACTATTCAATTACGTTTATTGAAAGTCTGATAAGTTGAAAACAATTCAGAAATAGACCTCTACGACTAACTCAGATACAGTCAGGGCATCGTGCCCTGATGAAATATATTTTATTATAGTGTGTTTTTGGTCGCAATGGCTAATGTTTGTGTTCACTGACATGATACAAAATAACATTCAAATCGAATTATTTTATAAATTTAACTACAATGCTACACAGATTTTGTTAAAGCTGGCGCAAACAACTCTTTAAATCAGTGAGCTGTGTGCAGAGTCCATTTCGATTCACGATCACAAAGAGAAAAAACTGAAAGTACAACCGTATCAGTTTGATTATAGTTTGCTAGTTTAGGCAATGCTATCTATAACATTTTTATTTGTTCATTAAAATATATCATTAGTTTGTGTGTGTGATAAAACAATTATTAGATTATCTCTAGATTATCTGACGATTCTAATGTGGTCGGCGGTTCTGCATTTTATATCTTTTCGGTATAAACATAACCACTTCTAAACTAAACAAAAAAATATATTAATAAACAAATAATAATAAAAACAAATAATAAACAAATATTTAGTAATCAAAGATAATGTACGAAAACGCGACTGCTAAGAGTCAATCTTATAAGTTTGCTGAGCTGTATAGATTTTCAGTAGATTTTTAGACAGAGACACCAAATTACAGGGTAATAAAATGGTTCGAGTGTGTGATAAAACAATTATTAGATTATCTCTAGATTATCTGACGACTCTAATGTGGTTGACGGTTCTGCTCTTTATATCTTATCGGTTTAAACATAACCACTTTTGAACTAAACAAAAAAATATATTGATAAACAAATAATAATAAAAAGTGTCGTGACAACTTTTCGTAAGAATTTTTTCCGTCTAGCTCCCTTTCACAACGCGCGATAAGGAACTTCGTTCCAAAAACAAATAATAAACAAATATTTAGTAATCAAAGATAATGTACGAATACGCGACTGCTAAGAGCCCATCTTATAAGTTTGTCTGCTGAGCTGTATAGACTTTCAGTAGATTTTTAGACAGACACCAAATTACAGGGTAATAAAAAAGTCAAATCCAAAGACGCTGCTGATTCCTGTAAGAACTTGCTTCCTGCTGCGATGCATATTATGTTTTTCCACAGAAAATATTCTTGATTTATTTGTTTCTCGATAATAAATCCTTTTCGTGGTTGTTTTATTGAAAATTATTTTCGTTATTAGTTAGTTAGTTATTATTTAGGCATTATAACCATAATACAGTTTTGTCAGCTTGCATAAATTGCTTTCATATCTCTTTAGTCGTTTTTTGTATACTATAAAAAGCATTCGGAAAACTGGCTACATTCGCAGAACGAGTTTTGACAGGAAATTAAAGTTCACTGGCTTTTTTCGACCGTCCGTGGGTTCGTGGTTGTTACACTTTTTTCACATAACTCTTTTTACGGTCGTTTTAAGCCGCTCATATAAAATGAATTGTTACGTAAAAGCCACGGAATTCGGCCGTAATGACTGGTCAAAATATTTACCCTCAATTATTCGCTTTGTTTACGCAGGTGCTAGTTATAACACATGTATATATGATAATAGCCAACTAATGTGTATATATTATAATGCTACTAGATGATGTTCAGATATGCCTGACGAAATATATAACATGAATACACACATAAATTGGCGCTATCAAAATGAAATTACACTTACTAGTGGCATTCGCAATGACTAGTTTTTTACCCCATTTTTTTTCTTTTATTCATTAAATGGGCAAACAATTTCGCAGCGCACTTGGTGTAAATTACTTACGAGAACCAATAATTGTCATTTATGGGCACACACTGTGCCTACAAGTGCAACCTACATAATCCAGATTGTATTATTTAATGGCTGCCGTACTCTTAAAATCGGCGCAAATGTCTATTTCACGATTGAAATAAGCTGTTTTGTGAATCAACTCGGGTGGATTTCTAAAGTTCGCTACTACCAGTAAATGTCAATTAGCGATACGCTGGTATAACCCTCCGAGAATACTGCTGCCTCTTCTCTTAGTTACCTAATTCTTATGCTCATTTTCTCTTATTAATGAGACACATAATCTCTACGATCAAATGCTTACGATCGGCACAAACCTAAGCAATTTCTAGTGAGACAGCGTTTTTTTTTTTAAATCGTTATATTCTAAGCCCTTCAGTGGTGTAAGATGATTTTTATAAAAATGCATACCACCAAACCACGAAATATTCCTTATTTTGACTAAATAGGTCAGGAATTTTTATAATATAAAATAAAAGGTTAAGATTAAGTGTCAAGATATAAACAATTAACATCAACTTATTAAAGAAAACCCAAATAGGACACCCCGAAGCTGTTTCGTTTTCTCTGCATAGAACACTTTATTAATCTGCATTTAATATAATCATACTTAAGTTAAACTTACTTCTACGATGACACACTCCGCAAAGCAATGCCGCTTATAATTACTCTTTGCGTTGGGGGTTCATTAATTATTATCTTGTAATTCACAGCGGGATATTATGGTTGACAAATTTGTAGTATCTCCGCGTGATTAATGCGCTATACCAAGTTTCCGTTGTGTGGAACATGACAGTTACGATAATGACTATGAAGTATGAGGAACACCTTAAATGTAAATAGTTCTAGTCTGGTATATCTTTAATACGATAGATTTATTTTTCATTTACCGGTACCTACCGTAACAATATCTAAATATTGCGTTGTTTTTTTTTTTGCTTAGATGGATGAAGACTTCACAGCCCACCTGGTGTTAAGTGGTTACTGGAGCCCATAGACATCTACAACGTAAATGCGCCACCCACCTCTATAAGTTCTAAGGTCTCAGTATGTTACAACGGCTACCCCATCCTTCGAACCGAAACGCATTACTGCTTCACGGCGGAAATAGGCGGGGTGGTGGTACCTACCCGTGCGGAATCCCAAGAGGTCCTACCACCAGTGATTACGCAAATTATAATGTTGCGGGTTGTTAAAAAAATACAGGCAGTGAACCCCGCAAGATGTTTCCTAAATAATTTTTCCTATAAAATATAATTTAGTTTTTGTTATTATACACATATTGAAATATCTCATCTAGTATTAAGTTGTTACTGGACGTCACGGATATCAGCTGCGAAGCGCCCGAAGAAAGAAGATCAAAGTCTTAATCGACTCAAAAGGTAATCATTGAATGGTTTTACATCGTATACTTATTTCGTTAGTAGCGTTTTCGTTCATAAAGCGACTTAGCTACATAATGCGCTAGTATGTATTGTGCTCCCTTCAACCAATTTCACAAAATGCCCTCTTGATTGGTGACATTCCGAGGTATTCTTGATCCGGAAGCTAATTGCGTGTCCTCGCAACTATGGAGGGATTCAGGATAATTTAGTATTGTGTAGGGCTTCGTGTGGCACCCTTGATGAATCTCGTATTACGAGTATGATTAATTACTATAATTGGAAATAATGCTCTTTCTCTTCACTTCCTAAAATTACCTATATAATATGGCTAGTGCTGAGAGTACAGTTTTCATTGGCAATTCCAAGCTCACGAGATGCGATTTTTCTATTTTGTTTTATACTCCATAGAAATCTGGATTCTAAAACTAAAGCGGCAAGGTATTCTTTGTAGTGATTGTAATTTACGAGTGTCGCCACGTTCAACGTGGAACGATCCGTATTTACCTTGTTAAGCTACGGGACTCGTAGTTCTGAAAACTACTAATACATGGTCGTTTGTCGCTAAAGTTTAGTCGTTTTAGGTTTTCGCTTGTTATCTGAAGATTTGTAAATTTGTAAATTTGTACCACTATACAATTTATTTATAACTAGCTGACCCGGCAGACTTCGTAGTGCCTCAATTTATAAATAAAAGACATAAACTTTTGTATAAAATAAACTTAAAACAAACAAAAGGAATCCGTCCGAAGGGGGATACATTAAAGGAAAAACAAAATTGTTATTTTTATTTAATTCTGAGTATTCTCATATTTATCTACCTTTCAAACCTTCTCTGGACTTCCACAAATAATTTAAGACCTAAATTAGCCAAATCGGTCCAGCCGTTCTCGAGTTTTAGCGAGACTAACGAACAGCAATTCATTTATATATATAGAGAGAGATGGCTCAATAGGTATAGATTCTATTAAGACTTTTTATTGGTAAGATATCTTAATTTATTTGAAAATGGATTTCTTTAAGCCGAAGTGAAGGATTGTTCGGCGCGATTGTCAATCAGCGATTACGTAAATATTGTATATACGTAAAAACGAGTGGCTTTGAATTTTGTCTCAACACTCGAACTGATCTATAAACAGTTCGCTAAAATAAACCTGTCTCTTCTAGATTCAGTAATCCTTATTATATTCATAACGATTTAAAGCATTTATTAAATTTGTTGTGTGACGTGCGCATTTATTTTCTAAATAAAAAGCATTAAGTTTCTTGCTGTTATTTCTCAGTGTTAAATAGTATTATCTCAAAAAACTGCCTAAAACCAGTGGTGGGAAGTAAGGAATAATATTATAGAATGTGATGAAGACTTGTGATGACTCTTATCTCAAAGTTGCAGCAATCACATTGTGAAGACTTATAGGCTCTCATATTTCATCTCATCTATCCATCTAGATCAAAGATATATTATACAAAAATGTCAGACAACCAAAGATAGTTTATTTCGATAAAAATTCAAAACATCGGGTAAAAAATATAGCAAATTTTGAAAACAACATTTCCTCAGACATCGAAAGTTTGTAATCCTAAGGGATTTTGCAGTCTCCGTCCGATTTTCGTGGGCTGTTGGTTCCGAGGTATGATAGACATGCGGCGACCGGCTGCCGACGGAGGTGTCTCGTCAGCATGCATTCCTGGCATTATCGAGAAGCGCCTATGACAAATACATGCACACGTTTATATAGGTAACTAGCGGCCCGCTCCGGATCCACTCGGGTTTTTAACAAAAATTTCAACGGTACCTTTTTGACGTTGTTTTATTTTTTTAAATAAAAGAACACTTATTGCCGCATAACTATAATTGTAAGACTAATTATAATAGTTAACTATAATATTTTAGGTATTTTTTTACACCTTGGGGTTACATTATTGGAGTTTTAGTAAGGATCTCTATTTTTTTCAAAAAAGGATATGGCCTATGTCACTCGGGAATAGTGTAGCTTCCAAACAGTGAAAGAATTTTTCAAATCGGCTTAGTAGTTTCGGAGCCTATTCAATACAAACAAACAAACAAATATTTCCTCTTTATAATATTAGTATAGATGTTATATGTCGTTCTTTGAAGCATTAATAATACTCCATTGAAATACAAGAAAGTTTTACACTGATGATCATTTACCGGGAAGCAGGAATAACGGACATTCTCCTGAAGAGGTGTTCGGCGGCAGCCTTCAGATCAGCGTCTTGCATCAAACCGACCATATCTTTTTCCCTTTTCTCTAGGGGTGCCTCCGAAAACGCCACTTCGCCTTCCAATGATACGTTGACACACTGTTCAGTAAAAAAAGGCTTAAAGTTTAGATCGCGTTTAATTGCCAGTTGACATGCTTATCCAAACCAGTTACTGTTTCCAAAAAAATAATTTTTAACATAAATCTGCATGCATCAGACTAGAGACAGAAATCAGTAGAGAGAAATAGTCGAGAAGCCAAGATCCAAGATAAGATGCTCATTGATAACAGAACGATAAGGCGGGTATTAATCTAAATTTTTAAGCAGGCAAAATGCTAAGTTTATAATAATTTTTACCACTTTACCGTGTCAAAGAAAGCGGCTACATCGCTGAAACCATATGAACGAGCTAAGCTAGACCCTTCAAGCAGCACCGCTCGAGCTTCGGGCCTATTATTCTGCAGCAAGTGACAACGGGCCAATAGGAATGTTGCATTTATTAGCCAAACTCGCTGACTGGATGCGCGAGATTCTGAAAATGTTTTTGTTTTTCTTATCTTTTCTTTGTTGTATCACCCTTATCAGAGCGGTAGTGGTCGTCAGTCATGACCATGGCTGTGAGCAGATGCTATGCGCCTCACAAGCAAAGTAGAAGGCACCAGACCACGTGGAAGTTTATCCACGCGACTAACCAAGTCAAGTCGACAGTTGACGGTTATTTGCAAGAGGGTTCCAGGCTCACCACGAACCGGAAGAAAGTAGTCTATAATGTTTGTTAACACCCGAAAGTTTGAAATAATTTACTACATATATTTATTTTTATCTTCGAATGCAGGTGGCCAATTCAAAGTGACAATTGGATTGTGTGACGAGTATCTCACATTTCAAACTGGAATGCAGACAAAAATAGGCAAGGTGGCCTTGTATTACAATATGCTCTATTGTCTTAGCAAAATCAATACCTGTTTGCGGGAACGCAAAACTGGCATAGTAGGTAGTACGCTTGATACGACTACATTGGGCTTCTTATCTTTTAAGCCCCAATGACTCTTTCGACGACGACGTACCTAATTTATTATTTATTTTTGATATTTCGATTGTACGAACGTTTTCGCCCTGTGTTAGTGTTTGGTATCCCACCGATAAGTACAAACACCCTCGTCTATTATTGAAGCATTCGAATGTTTCAGTTTGTAACAGAACAGTTCAATTTAAAACAACTGGCGGTAGGACCTCTTGTGAATCCGCACGGGTAGGTACCACCACCCTGCCTATTTCTGCCGTGAAGCATTAATGCGTTTCGGTTTAAAGGTGGGGCAGCCGTTGTAACTATACTGATACCTTAGAACTTATATCTCAAGGTGGGTGTCGCATTTACGTTGTGGATGTCTATGGGCTCCAGTAACCACTTAACACCAGGTGGGCTGTGAGCTCGTCCAACCAGCTAAGCAATAAAAAAACTATCAACTATCTACTGCTATTATTTCATTGTTATTTGGCTATAATCAAGCTCAAATCTCTCACAATCAGCCCCAAAAAAGGCACAAAAATGTACTGCGAATTATGAATACATATTATTGTAACCTATCCACTGTGTGCTCTCACTGGATTTTCTCCAGAACCGATGCTAGATTCAGAGAAGTACTGCTCTTGCTACGATTAATGTTATTAATTCCTTCCAAGTCGAGCACCAAGAGCTCACCTACCAGTCCGCATACACTTGAAGTAGCTTTTTAGACTACCCACAATTAGGTAGGAAAAAAGACGTGTGGTGTCGTGGGACACCGGATAAGAACGAAGTTCCTTATTATAAAAATATTAATTTTAGATTCTATTCGAGGTATAAAGAAAATAATTATTCGGGTATACATTTTTAATTTTGATTGTTTTATTGATAAAAATAAAAAAAAAATACTTTACAAAGTTATCAACTTTATTTTATTCACAATGATTTATAAAAAAATATATAATAAAAAAATATGTGATTTTTTGTACGTTATTACAAAGTTAAGTCGTACACTGTGTGCATTACTAATAAAAATCTTACGTTACGGACGTTTTTCCCGGTTAGAGTAGCCCTCCGCATCGTCCCATAAGGGACTTCGTTCCAAAAAAGGATAACTATTTATGTATAAAATTTAACAATACCATTCTGACATTTCGTAGCATAGAACAGAGCCCGTAAATTCTGTTTCGTCTCGATGCTGAGACGTGCCAGTTCGTGCAGTAAATAACATCGCTCCGAAGCCCGCATGCTCAGCGCCAGAGCACGTTCCACGACTCGAATACGTTGCCTGCGTAGTTTATCAACGGTTATTGGATTTTATAACTAATACGTACGGAATAAGAAACATATTTCGTAGCAATTGAAATGCTCGATTTTTTTACAATTTATTCAATTCTTGTTTCCTATGACGTTCCTTTGTTCCTCTAAGCTGTAATCTTGAATTTCAGCTTCTAATATACTTGTTTTTTTATTTTTTTATTCTGAGTATTCCATCTTTATTGTAAATGCTCAGTAAGTTGCGTTTACTATTCAGCAAATTGACTACGAAAAAGGAAAGTTGCAAAAAGGACCCAAGGTACTCCTTGGGTCCAACCAAGATACTTGTCCTAGGGTCCGTTCTGCAACTTTCCGCGAATATGGATATTTGGAGTCAATATGCGTCATTTGGAAAGTAAAACCAATTAGCTTCAATATCGCGAATAGGTACTGTACGCCTGAACTAAAACTCGGGCCTAGCATGGAGTACTACTCCCATCTCTGCTCCTGGGCTGCTAAGTACGAGATACTTCCATTTGAGTCTATACAAAAGAAGGCCGTTCAGATTGTCGGTACATCGACTTCTCACGCGATAAATAAAAAAAAACAAATTCACCACTGTCATATGATGAGATGATTATGATTATAAAATGGATTTTTTTAAACATTATTTAACACTAAACATATCATAACGGGTGAAATGACCCATTTTACTGGTGGTAGGACCTCTTGTGAGTCCGTGCGGGTAGGTACCACCGCCCTGCCTATTGCTGCCGTGAAGCAGTAATGCGTTTCGGTTTGAAGGGTGGGGCAGCCGTTGTAACTATACTGAGATCTTAGAGCTTGTATCTCAAGGTGGGAGGCGCATTTACGTTGTAGATGTCTATGGGTTCCAGTAACCACTTAACACCAGGTGGATTGTGAGCTCGTCCATACATCTAGGCAATAAAAAATAAATAAAAAAATTGAGCTTTTGCATTGAAAATCACGTGTCATCTTACTGCTTTTGCACATTTGACTTCATACCTTTTTCTTACCAATTAATCAACAGTTAGTATACTTTTTTTACGTTTGGTTTTGTTTATTTTCAATAATACTTGTCGTATACCAGTTATCTTCCTGCTATGGTAGAAATAGGTACCAGTGAGTGTTGGTATGTTTGGTGTTAAACGGCAGTATCGGTAAAGCTGGCATCAGTCATTCGAATTAGTCAGAAACTTTCCTTCTTTAGTCTCACGAATAGCAGTTTGGCAGTTTCCTTATTAAATCTATACTTCTATACTTAATATTATAAAGAGGAAAGATTTGTTTGTTTGTTTCGAATAGGCTCCGAAACTACTGGACCGATTTGAAAAATTCTTTTTCCATTAGAAGCTGACATTGTCCCTGATGAACATAGGCTACTTTTTTTAATTTTTCTTTTTTTTTTGGTTTCATGTGTGTTTTAATGTTTCCGAAGCGAAGCGAGGGCGGGTCGCTAGTCGTTGAATAATTTGATGCAAATTACTTGGCATCGCGCGACGGTTCAGGGGGGCGCGCTCGTAACACGGAGTCACGACTTGGCTCACGCGACATCGCCATCCCGAGGAGAATAAACGCTCTCTTCTCCCGGTCGGACTCGCTCATGCTCTCGCGTACTCGTTTCTAAGAAAAGAAATAAATATTTAATAAATAAATATAAATATTTACTAACAATCACGCCACGTTAACTGGGGACCAGTGATAAATTCGGAAAGAACTTGTGTTACAGGTACCAGATAACGGAAATAAATGTAAGATTTTTATTATACACATACATATATTTAATATACATCCATAACCCTGGAAAATACATTTATATTTATCATACAAATATCTTCCCTTAGCGGGATTCGAACCCGCGACCCCATTGTGTAGTGACCACGTCACTTACCACTACACCAGACGGCCGTTAAAAATGGATTTGTATTGAAATGTTTTACGGTATCCCCTGCATTGAACTTGTTAGAAATAAGACCAACATTGCGAGTTTCTTTGTAAGGATTTTGATACCGATACGAGACGTTTAAAGTAATGGCTCTAAATTCACCAATAGCTAAATATACATTTCAAGACCTGAGTAAATATAAATGTAATAATGTAAAAATGTTATTAAACTCTTATTTAAATTTACTTTACTATAAATATAGTGGTCAGATATGTAAAAACAAAAACAACTCGTGAGAATAACATTTGTTCATAGGTCTAGAAACTTCCAATCTTCATTGCTGAAAGGAGCATTGAAAGCAAACAAATAGGATTAGAATTGTAATTCTAGAATTGATTTGGCATTGACACGAGTATTGGCTATATACTTGTCTGCTTATTGAGGTTATAGAAACAACAACAACAACAACGCTTATATTTTATTTATGACCACTAAAAATATCATACCTAAATTTTAGCCTTGTTGAAAATTAAATATTCGTTTATGGTGGTAATTTTTTTTTTATTGCCTTTGTAGGCAGACGAGCATACGGCCCACCTGATGGTGAGTGGTTACCGTCGCCCATGGACTTCAGCAATGCCAAGGGCAGAGCCAAGCCGCTGCCTACCGAAGATTACCGCAGTTTAATGTCAAAGCAAAACCGCACGGGTAGGTATCACCGCCCTGCTTATTTCTGCCGTGAAGCAGTAATGCGATTCGGTTTGAAGGGTGGGGCAGCCGTTGTAACTATACTGAGACCTTACAACTTATTTCTCAAGGTTGGTGGAAAATTTACGTTGTAGATGTCTATGAGCTCCAGTAGCCACTTAACACCAGATGGGCTGTGAGCTCGTCCACACATCTAAGAAAGAAAAAAAAACGCTTCGCTTTACTTTTTCAAAACTATTGGAACTGAGAGTCTTTGTGAGTGTAAAATACTGAATCCAATCTATTCCACTACGTGACTTGGCAAGTCCACTCCACAAATCGGACAATGGGACAGTAATAAAACTTTTAATAAACAAAAGAATTATGAACCTGGTCCAAGAATGCGTTGGCAACGATTTCGTACAATTCCTGCAGGTATTTTTCTTTGCCCGGAAGCAATCGAATGCCTTTTCTGTTTATTTGCTCCATGCCGAATTGAGCGCTATCCAAACACTTCAAGGTCTCCTTTTGGTCGTAAAAGGCCTGGGTTGCAGCAACGAGTCGCCGTGCGTCTGTCTCGTGTTGTTGCTGTGCACGCGTCAGCTGTTCCTTGCGTGCGTGCGAAAGACGGGCTCTGGCCTCTGCTTCCAACGCACGAGCGGCGTACAAAGGTCGACGCTCACGAAGAACTGCCTGTAAAGAACTGCCTCTTATCGTACATCGACCCTTATATATTTTTTCAATGTATAAAATGAGTTCTTAGGTGGAGACCGCAAGCCGGAAAAGGTAATGCGTGACGCCCCTGTGAGTAGGTGGGACGATGATTTACGATGGGTAACCAACAAAGGATATGGATGAAAAAATCCGAAGACCGGGCTAAATTGGTGGTGTAAATTGGGAGAGGCCTGTGTCCAACGGTGAAAAAATATGGTCTGAAGATGATGGTAATGATATAAAATGAAACTTTTCCTGTATTTGCAGTTCCGTTCCATCAATTAATGACCAAACAGTTAAAAAACATTTCGAGGCTTATTGTCCAATTTATCATTTAAATTTTACGAGCTCAGAATGCTTGATGGTGTTCGTATTTGTGTCGCGATTCTGCTGCGGTGGTAGATTCTGCGAAGCACTGCTCTTGCTGGAGCTAGTGTTAGCTAGTTCTCTCAGGTGAACCCGGGAGCTTACCTAGCCGTCTAAGCGTAACTGGAAAGTCTCTTAGGCTACCAGCGAATAGGTAGGAAAGAAAATGTGTTCATATTTCGTATTTCGAATGTTTGACGGACAAGAACAGATAGAAATTTATTGGTCAAAATTTTGATGTATACGTTTTTTTTTTATTGCCTTTGTAGGCAGACGAGCAAACGGCCCACCTGATGATAAGTGGTTACCGTCGCTCATGGACGTCAGCAATGCCAGGGGCAGAGCCAAGCCGCTGCCTACCACCAAGCCGCTGCCTACCAATACGTCGAATAATAATATATCTTCGAGTTCATTGAGCTGTAAAAGCAAAAAAAAAACCTTTTTATTAAATCACCCGAAATCTTTAATCCAAAACCATTTTAAAAGCATCGGGAATTAACATATAAAAAGGTAGAATTTCAGCGAAACTAACTTGAACTGTTTTAGATCTTAATGATATCGCTGATCTAGTCTTACAATGTGTTTCTTTGTATACATTTTTTTTTTTTTTTTTTATTGCTTAGATGGTTGGACGAGCTCACATCCCACCTGGTGTAAAAGTGGTTACTGGAGTCTATAGACATCTACGACGTAAATGCGCCATCCACCTTGAGATATCAGTTCTAAGGTCTCAGTGTAGTTACAACGGCTGCCCCACTCTTCAAACCGAAACGCATTACTGCTTCACGGCTGAAATAGGCGGGGTGGTGGTACCTACCCGTGCGGACTCACAAGAGGTCCTACCACCAGTAATACACTGAATATTAAGTTATAAATTTGCGCCACAAAGACGGCTTTCAACAAAGACAGCCACAATCAATATAAACAATAATTAAATTTAGTCCTCAAAGGATCCACAAAGATCTAAGCAGTAAAACGAATTATTAGACTGTCTAAGACACTATTTTGTTATCCTATTTACGATTAAGCACCGTCGAATTGATTGTTCAGTAGCTCTTCTCTCTCTCTCTCACTCTTTTCTCAACAATTTCACTCTCTCTCACTTTTTCTCAACAATTTCGCCACTATTAATAACAATATACTTATTGACATAGTGATTTGTGGCGCGGTCGCAATATTTTACCGCTAACCAATGTAATGATGAAATATGAAGTTTGTGGTATGAACGGCTTGATATATATTGCAAACAAACGACAATAAAGGAGGATAATAATATAGACCAAAAATAAAATAAAAAAAAAGATGTGTGGTGTCGTGGGACACCGGATAGGAACGAAGTTCCTTAGTATAAAAAAATTATTTAAAGTTCTATAGGTATAAAGAAAATAAAACTGGAGGTTTACGGTAACGTGCGAGCTTATTGTGGTACACTTCATTCACGGTTGTTTGCATAAGAGTTAGTGTATTGCGCAAACGAACGCTCTGAGATCGTGATCAATGAATGATAAAAAAATATGTTATTTTTTGTACGTTATTACATAGTTAAAGCGTACACTGTGTGCATGACTAATAAATACCTTACGTTACGGACGTATTTTTCGCGATTGGGGTACCCCTCCGCATCGACCAATAAGGAAATTCGTTCCAAAAAAAATTTTAAAGAAGAAATTCTTTTCATTTGATTTTATCGCAGTCTAATTATGTGCTGAATAGCTCCATGATTTTACGCACCTGATTTTAAAATCTAATATGAGCAGAACTGTCATTTAAGCTGCTTATTTGAGGGTTTTAAAAAGATAAATCATACCATTTTTATCACATGTTAAATAAAATATTGAATTTCATTTCATATTGACCAGAAGTCGATAAAAACACAATACATATGTACATATATAGTATAGGCTGCCACTCACCTTGAGAAATAAAGTTTATCTATTATTGACTGTCCCACTCTTAAAACCAGAATACTTAACGGCAAAAATAAGTAGGATGCTTATATTATGTATTTATCTGAACGCTTTCACAATACGCTTTCCCGCCATAAAGAGGCATTTAGTAAAATAAAACCGAAAATTAAAATTATACACGACGTGAAATCAATTAGTAAAACAATTTATACATTTTTTCTCTAACTAACTTGACGTTTCTCGACATCGGCCAAAGCTTTAGTCGCCAATTCTTGTAATTTCTTAGAGCCCTGTGCGTTGGCCGAGATAAGTCTTTCGTCCTTACATAAAGATATTAAGAAATGTTTGTCGTGTGCCATTCGTTCCAAGTATTTCGAAGCCATTAAACGGGAGATTTGTTCGTATTTTTGTTTTTCTGCCCGAGATATTTCTTGAACCTAAAACAAGTTTCTTTATATCTTTCAGGGAACGCATATTATAAGATTACTGGTTCTTATGTATTTAGACTTTACTAATAACTTTTTTTATTCATTCAAGTTCTCTGTTATTGCTTAGATAAGTGGACGAGCTCATAGCCCACCTAGTGTTAAGTGGTTACCGGAGCCCATAGACATCTATAAAGTAAATGATCCGACCCACCTTGAGATATGAGTTTTAAGGTCTCAGTATAGTTACAACGGCTGTCCCGCCCTTCAAACCGAAACACATTACTGCTTCACGGCAGATATAGGCAGGGCGGTGGTACCTACCCGTGCGGACTCACAAGAGGTCCTACCATTAGTAATTACGCAAGTTATAATTTTGCGGGTTTGACTTTTATTTCAAGATGTTATTTATTCCTTGACCGTGGAAGTCAATCGTGAGCTTTTTGATATATTTTTTCTTATAAGCATCGAGAGTTTGGTAAAATTACAACGGACTATCTTACATGTTTACAGCCTAATAATATAAATCATTTGATTACAAAAATATATAACAAATAACATGTTATACTCCATTAAAACGACATTTTGAATCTTAATTTTGATGTCCCCAAATGATTACCCCTGATGTAGATTAAAAGTGAATCATGTCAACAATTACATTTCTTATTACTTCAAATAGGTAGAGAACCTGATAGTCTACCTCGTATTGTGATCAGAGCCCATACTTCACGACGTGAATTCCACCGCTTATCTTAAGACGTGAGGCGAAGAATCAATTGCATTTCGTACTATTCAAGCTATAGTATTTGCTTTTTTGAGGCAGAAATAAGTGAAATGGTGGATGGAAGATCACAGGTTGTATTGTCACCGTACCGTGTGACAATAGTGTCAACCGTAATTAACAAAACCAGCGTGGACAAATGTATCCAATTAAACTACATATTTTATTCTACAGAGTTATTAAAATATTACTGAGCTTTCGAGAAAAAATATTCATAGNATTCAAGCTATAGTATTTGCTTTTTTGAGGCAGAAATAAGTGAAATGGTGGATGGAAGATCACAGGTTGTATTGTCACCGTACCGTGTGACAATAGTGTCAACCGTAATTAACAAAACCAGCGTGGACAAATGTATCCAATTAAACTACATATTTTATTCTACAGAGTTATTAAAATATTACTGAGCTTTCGAGAAAAAATATTCATAGTAAGCGTTTTAGTATCCATACATATTTTTCAAGACTAATCATATTTTTAAGATGAGCTCCCACATTCAGTATCAGTATCAATCAAAGATTTTTAGTTAAATTATTAGAAAACGTTATTTTAATCGTTTGCCTGAAAATCAACTCATTCATCTGCTAACCTGTTGAGTTTCTTGTGCTTGCATTCGGCTGCGATGTTTCAGTGCTCTTGAAGCATCTGAATCAATGGATTCCTTGTTGAGTTCCACTCGTCTTATAAGCGAAACAGCTGCCGAAAGCACTTTACTAGCACTGCTGCCAACGCATTCTCGAATCTAAACGTTCAGTATAGAGTTGAACATAGCCTGACGTTGTTGTGAGCTGGGCGATGCTCTGCAGCTTTCATGATCTTTTGATTTAGAATAAATTGAGTTCGTACCTTTTTAAAAGTAGAAACTACATTTATAATTTTAAGCTTTTCAAAACATGTATCATAGAGCCCCAAAAAACTTTTATCATTTGTTTTGTTATAGTTTAATGTAAGGAACTACTTATTTTTGTTCCTGCTTAAAATGCAGAAGCTTATGGCTCACCTGATGTTAAATGAGACATTGAAGGCCTTGGATCGTAAAATATATCGATAATAAAAACTCAGACAAAGAGCAAACACATGTTTGCCCGATATGGGAATCGAACCCACGACTATCGGCGCAACAGTCAGGGGCTAATGCACCACCGTGTCAGTCTACAGTCAGTCAGTGGCATGAAAATAAATATAACTTTAGTATGAATTTAATAAATAAATTCGATGATTAATTATAGTAGTAATACCGTCTCTTCAGCATGGCGAGCGCATTCTGCAAAGTCCGGAGGGAATCTTACTAAGCGCTGACCTTGATGCGCCATAACAAGAGCACGTTCAAAAGCACATTTTTCGTATTCCGTTTGCGCTCGAATTTGTAGCGCCGTCAGATTGCTCGGCTCTAGTTCTGTTAATAGAGCGTTTTCGATTCTCAATAATCGGCTCTATAAGTCCATTACAGTCATTTTAATGAAGCTAGAAAACTGACTTCAAAGTTACATTTACCAAAATGATAAACTTCAATACTGTTATTTCAATCATTAGATATTGTATCTACAATAAAAAAATCCTGTTCAAATTTTCATGTCCAAAATGAATAATTTAAAAAAAACACTGTTCAAATATCTAATCTAAATTACTTTCAAAGCTATCCAAACTTTGTTTTGATGTGAAAATTTAACACAAAACTGCGGATAGTGAGCTAGTTATTCAAACCGATTCAAAGTCATCTATCGAATTCGGTGGATCAATGCAATGTAATTAACAAGTTGATCCGGAACCAACCTATTTAGTTGAATTCCCTAAAGCTCTAAGTCACTTAAAACAGATGAATAAATACATGGCAATAGACATGCTCACTCGAACCTATTTACTGGTGGTAGGACCTCTTGTGAGTCCGCGCGGGTAGGTACCACCACCCTGCCTATTTCTGCCGTGAAGCAGTAATGCGTTTCGGTTTGAAGGGCGGGGCAGCCGTTGTAACTATACTTGAGACCTTAAAACTTATATCTCAAGATGGGTGACGCATTTACGTCGTAGATGTCTATGGGCTCCAGTAACCACCTAGCAATAAAAAGAAAAAAGGAAAAAGAACCAAAATCAAAAAATCTGAATTTTCTCACAAAAATTTAAATGGTGATGGGGTTATCGAATAACAAAATAAAAAAAATGATACGCATCAGATTTCATGACGTCATTGCCTTTCGTGTGCGAACGTGAAATAGAGATAACGATAACTTATGTTCCCTCTACGCACGTAGACTACCATGTCAATCTTCAAAATGTTGATTGCTACGATATTTTTCAATTAATTCCGATGTTATTTTATATTTGACAAGATGTGTTTTAATTCTATTCCTTACATGATATATATGATATAAATGATGAATACGAAAAAAAAGAATAAACAGCGAACTATAGAAATACCTTTAATAGTTTTTTACTACTTCTACTACTATAGCGTAACTAACAAGTTCGTCTTGTGGTAAGCGAATATATAGTTAATTGGAGAGATACTCTGTCTAAGTAACCGTCCACGTAGAGACATCAAGAAAGTGTTGGTCTAGTGTTTTAATTGCAATGTTTGCCTTGTTTTTATATTAAAACAGACTTGAACTGGTACTAAGCTGTGCGAAATTACTAACTAATAATTAGTATAAATATTAATAATAATTTATGTGTATTTATCGTATTATATTTATAACACAAATTAAAAATAATTTCCCCCAAAATCTATTGTAATGTTGAAGCTTAATAAAGTGCTTCAAATTTAAACTGTTCTATTCCTGCAATGAAGTTCTTTATCCGTACTCCAAATATGAAAATCTAGAATGCTGGTTGCATTTTTACCACTAAATTTAGCAGACCTAATTTTGGTGGAGCATCTTCTACACAAACCCGGCTCGCTTATTGTAAAGCTTATCTACATAAACTGAATTGAGCAACTTAATCTCAAATTTAATCAATTGCTTATACATTTACCGCAAATTTAACCATTTGCACGTTAGGTGCACGAATAGGCAAAAATCACTAGTACTGTAGGAACCAGAAATTGATATACTTTTAAATATAATTATAATAAAATATAATTTAAATATACGTAACTATGGATGGCGCATTTACGTTGTATATGTCCATGGGCTCCAGTAACCACTTAACACCAGGTGGGCTGTGAGCTCGTCCATCCATCTAAGGCTTAGATTCTAAGCAATAAATAAATAAAAGATATATACAGAAATAGAGAACCCAAAACAAAGAGCAAAAAAAGCCAAAACTCTCGACTTTTTAGCTTTCGAGCCCAACAATTAGGGTCGCTACCTACTGCGCTAATGAGTCAGTTATGTTTTGTCTTTCTAAAACGTGAGAACAAAATTTGACCGATTATGTCATAATAAAGTCGTTGGCTTACACACCTATTATTTAAATGTTGCATTTAATAATTACTCACCAGCAGCCCTAGCTGCGTCTGCCAGAGCTCCGTTGTAATAAGTGGACTTCGCTCGCGCTACGCTCCGACCAATCAACGACCGTACGTCTGAGCTCTGAATGGGCCGTAAATGTTTGATTTACTACCTCCAATAAAGGTTTTGTGAATCGGGATCTGGGTTTGCGTCTAACTGCATTCGGACTTTTGTATTGAAACCAANTAATTACTCACCAGCAGCCCTAGCTGCGTCTGCCAGAGCTCCGTTGTAATAAGTGGACTTCGCTCGCGCTACGCTCCGACCAATCAACGACCGTACGTCTGAGCTCTGAATGGGCCGTAAATGTTTGATTTACTACCTCCAATAAAGGTTTTGTGAATCGGGATCTGGGTTTGCGTCTAACTGCATTCGGACTTTTGTAATGAAACCAAATTTTGAGTGTTTCCAGACGATCTCAGTTTCGCCCAATTTAAATTAAAGTAAAAATATTTCAGTAAATTGAAACTGGCACGTAGTTAAATTTAGTAATGTTCGCCCTCCAAGCGAAATTAGACTATCCGGGATAAGCGAAGATTATGATTTACCTTCTAATTTTCCTTTTTGTTATTGTATTGAAAAAGCACTAGAAAAAGTAGTGTTCTATTTTCAGTCTTTACCTATTCATAATAATAATATGTTATAGTTTATATTAAATAGTGAAATCTGGCTAGGATCAAGCAAATTTTAAAGTATTAAATGAAAGGAGACGGAAAATCGTGGGCCAAAAATGTAATAACTTGGAATGTAGTCTAAAAAATTTGTCATATTTTTTTATATAAGAATATAAAAAATCAACTCAATCCTTTTCCTGGGACCGGAGAAAAATGAGAAAGTTAGTTTTTGTCGGTTTAGCAGTGTGATCGATTTAATTAATCGATTACAGGATTATAAAAAGAAAAACATTGCACTAGGCAATGAATGCAAAGTAATTAAATGAGAGATTTATACTTGTTGTATACAAGTGCGGTATACGACGAATTTAATTGCGATTATATACATAAATAAAGAAAAGTGTATTATTACTTAACAAAGTAATATGATTATCGATTTCAAATCGATTAAAATCAATTGTAATGACAGCTTTGACAATAAGCTGACATGACGCTTGTTTATAGATTATACACTTAATATTTGGCGCTTGTTGGTTTTTTCTGCTCTACTCGTTTTGTATTTTCTACGCGTTTTGAGTGTGTATCTATCTGGCTGTTTTTATTTATTTTCAACGATCACTGCTTTATTATTATGGATTCTGTTGAAATTATGGATCGCTTTGTGAATTGTGGGATAGCAATTAATCATAGCAATTCCATAGGCCGTCGACCTTGGACAGTGTTACAGTATTATATGGTTGGACCTTTGGACAGTATTATATGGTACCTTAGCTGGGTACATACCAAGTTTTTTTTTTTTATTGCCCTTGTAGGAAAACGATCCAGAGGTCGTAGCCGAAAAAGATTTAGTGACCAAGTGTCTGGAAATGAGACTGAGCCACGCACTTCACTGTGCCACAGACCGACATAAGTGGCTGCAAATTACAAAAAAAGGTCACAGGCGGGCGCATCACGATGCTCAGCAATGAGCGATCGACTGAAGGAGGAGGAGGAGGAGGAGGCAGACGAGCATACGGCCCACCTGATGGTGAGTGGTTACCGTTGCCCATGGACTTCAGCAATGCCAGGGGCAGAGTCAAGCCGCTGCCTACCGCTAAAAAGATAATATTGTTCCCCTTGCACTCTTCCTGAATGACATTTTAATAATAATTGAAGGCGAATACACTAGGTATACAATACGTTGTGTTTTATTTTTTTCGACGCCTTTTAGGTAAATCCATACATGATATATATCATTAATATTCATTCATAATATGACATTTAAAAGATTATCCAATGGATATAATAAACATTTACTTATGCTTAAATAAGTTATTATTCAGCTCTTTTATAGAGATTGTAACATAACATAACTTTTGCTAAATCTTTAATAAGTCTGCTCTCAGATTGAGAAATCTTTTAAAATTTTCAGCAAGGTACTGATAAATCTGAATCTATTAATTCATACTAGTTTCATCACGTTACATTCGGGCCCAAAAATGTATGTAATCGTTTCAGTCTCCTTTGGTACATATTTTTTCGCGCGTCTTCTCTCGTGTGTTTGTAGTCGGTACCAAGTATGTATATTCGTAATAGTTGCCAAAAACGTTAAAAATTTAAATAGCGTCGCATTAGCAACCCGCGATTTCAAATAATATGTTGTTATTGCTATATGCTCTGGAAACACAGTCAGGTTGATGAGCAACTTCACTCTTCGAATCAAAGAAAAACAGTAGACTTTATGGTAGAATATAGTAGGTAAAAATAAAAGTTTATGCTTGCAGAATAGAAAATACCGTAACTTTATTGTGTTAATATATTTCGTTACACTTGATTAAGTAACAATTGATCACAGAGTATGCATTTTACTAACGTCTGCGGAATATATTGCTTTTGGGTATCTCTACATATAAATTCTTGGCATTGCTGACGTTCATATAAGCAACAGTTAACGTGCACCATTAGGGGACCTTTTTTTTTTTCGGTCCTGGGGCCGAACCTCCTACAAGGTTCCCGCGCATAAGGGGCGCGCGGGGTATGTGAGACTCAACGATCTGCAGGTGTTGAGAGCAGATCGAGGGCCCAAGGATTTTAGGGCCCACCCACTAAACGACTCCCCTGCACTCTTACACCCGACGTCCGATCCCCTCCGAGGCCAGAACCCGGATGAGGTAGGGGGTGTTACCGCGGTCAACACTACAACCAGACAGCGCGGCTCACCCCAAGGACGCCCAGCCGACGGAGCCTTCGAGGCGAATCGAAGGCTCTGAAACGTCGGCCATCTCGGTACAGCAGCTCGTCAGGCCGCCCAGACGGTGCCGCTGGTGTCCCGGAATACCCCGCTGGACCAGAAGCAGCCCGCCGGGTCGGGACGCGATACACCGCCAACCGTCCGCTCTATTACTCCTTGGCAGCACGCTAGATTGCTGGTAGCGCAACGCGCGGCCTCTACCCCCTCAAGTCGCCCCTTGACCTTCACCGGGGGGAGTTCACCTCTTACAGGGGCCGGAGTCGGACAAAAGCCCTTCTACGGCCCCCGGCTCGGTGGCGACGGATAGGTGCAGAGAGGGATGAGCTCTCCCTCTCTCGTTCCGGCGCCTCCTTCTGCGAGATGGTGTACTCGCAGTAGTCAAGCATCGCCTTCCAGGACTTATCGCTGCCGAGCATCGTAGCCACGAAAGTCGGCAGCGACAAGTCCGGTCCTATTTGCGAGACAAGGACACGGCGTTGCTCCAGCCATGCCGGGCAATGTGCGAGCGTATGCTCGACCGTGTCCTCGTCGCAGTCACAGTGGTGACACTCCATCGTCGGTTCCCTCCGGGCGACGCGATGCAGGTACCGGCCGAAACACCCATGGCCGGTAAGTCGTCGTTGGCTAAGTTAATCACCAAAATTAAATTTTAAATCCTTTACATCCACTTTTTTTATTGCCCTTGTAGGCAGACGAGCATACGGTCCACCTGATGGTAAGTGGTCACCGTCGCTCATGGACTTCAGCAATGCCAGGGGCAGAGCCAAGCCGCTGCCTACCATTAAGTACTCTCCGCAAGCCTCGTTTGAAGAAGGACATGTCATAGCGCTCGGGAAACACCGTAGAGGGAAGCTCATTCCATAGCCGAATGGTACGTGGCAGAAAAGATCTTTGGAAACGCACTGTCGACGAACCGATGGCGGGAGGTGCGATGATAAAAAGGAGATGAGGGGATCATCTAAAATAATTCCTCAGAGCATTCCCCATGGACCATACGGTATAAAACACAGAGAGAACCGAAGTCCCTCCGTAGACCCAGAGGTTCCAAGCGATCCTTGGAGCCTCTCGTTACTTGGATGTAATGCAAAAGTCAAAGTTATCTCTACGAAAAGCTTCAATACAAAAACCTGTAGAAAGTCCCCAGAAGAACCGACGAAACAAACTCAAGCACGTCATCAATAATCGGTTTCATTTTTGTTACTTACATTCCAACGAAGAGCTTCATTGTACGCTTGTATGGCCTTCTCAAATTGTTCTAGCCGTTGTAGGTAATTACTGTTAAAATAATTAAAATTGTTAAATCATTATTTTAGCATTGACCTTTGACATTTCACTTTGACCTTTTTAGTCAATCTTGTCGTCTACCCTAAGATATGAAACGAAGTCAGTATTACATTGGAAAATATGTAGGGCATCCTACGGCTTTACTTAGTCTAGTCAATCTTCCAATTTCTAATTTCAGATTGTATGAGTACATTACTCGAAGCAACATCATTAACTGGGATGAGATGGGAATCACTTTATTTGTGAGTGTAACATTTTATTAAGACGCAAAATGAACATCTTCGGCTATAGTTACTCGGACAAAGATCTCCATTGGTTCTTATCTAGAATAACTATTGAAGAAAGGATAAAGTTAAAAGGTGTAGAAGAAGATAAATAATCCATAAGGCTTGCTATAAAAGCCACTCAGCCGTTCCCATTTATATGAATGTATAAAACAGTTAATTTATCAAGGCTAGCAACACTTTAAATCTTATGACCATGCTAGAAACGATTCAAATCTTATGACCCAATATGAGCAGTAATATTACGGTGCCTAGGAGCTCTATTGAGTGTTTAACCCTAGTTATCCGAAAAGTAATTGAATATTTGGCTTTTAAACTAAATAAAATTTGGCATAACTATCTCAGTATGTTTTAATATTGACCAAAATAGGTATTATTATCGTTAAAATAGACATTTTGATATTATTGAATGTAGTATTTTTTTTCGCACTATGATTACAGTGCACTCACCCTCTTTCCCTGAATACAGCGACCGCATTACATATAGGTTTCTCTTCCGGCACTAATTTTTTCCTCATGTCGGCAAGACGACTCTTTGAGTCGTCTCGTCAGTATTGCAACTTGCGTCGTTGTCATTATCTGCAATCTAGATGGCTGCGACTTTTGTGATGTTTATTAAAAAAACAATGGGTGCAAAAAATAAATATATTTAGGACTCGGGCATCGTGATTTCAAAGTTGGAATGTTTAAATTTGATGTTGAATTTCTATTGTATATCCCTAAACTTTATGAAATTAAAATGGAAATAGGCGTGGGCTGCGGCTGTACTGACGCTAATTTTAGCTCCGATTAGAATTACCGATTTAAAATCTAATTCTGGTTAATGTTTTTAGGGAAAAATATGACTAATGAAAATGAAAAATATTAACTATTTCTTTGCAATCATACCGTTTTTCAGAGCATTTACAAATTTGTTATATATATAATATTAATATAGTCCTACTACTAGTTGCTAATAATACCTGATATATATAGTACTTAAAGAATAAACCACGGCTTAATTACAAATATTGCAATACTGCTGCTGACCCTAAGACAAAGGGTTGATGTTTGTCATCTGACAAACATCCATTCTGGTATTTATTGGAATTCATTTGTTTGCCCACACTTCATATTTACAGGCCCTATGTTTGAAGCATCCAACGACAACCATCAAAGCGGATAGCGAAATAAAGTAACTAAAAAATAAAATTTAAAAATAAAAACCGATTTATTATTATTATTATTATTGTTATTGTGTATTGTATCAATAAGTAAATTGTGCTCTTCTACCCTCGCATGTAAAGCTCTCCCTCCCTCTTTAAGAACGGTTAGCTGGTAGATAACTCAATTGTTGATTTAAGCTCGCCATTTTATAACTTTTCGCAATTATTGTATTGAAGAAAATACTAAATAAAATCGAATAAAAAAACCAGTAGTCCCCAACACCAAATCTACTGAGTATTAGTTACGAATCAACTAAAAAGAACTGCGAAATTGAGCTCAATTTCGAAGTCAATTTATTAAAAAACAAGCAATAAATCCTTATCACGAATTTTCCGGACGAAACGAAACACGATAAGCGGTGATTTAAATTTTACAATCTTCCGCTCCAGCATTGACTAATGGACCCATTGGATTGTAATTTGTTTTAATATTATTAGTATAGATAATTTTTCTGTTACGTAGAATAAGGATCAAGCTTACTTAAAAGATATCGTCTAACTTATTATTACGCTGTTCAATGCATACACGGTTTTTTACCAATTTCATTTATTGCAAGATTTTTATGATCAATTATGTTATAAACTTTTTTAGCTAATGGATTTTTTTGAGTCCTTGGCTGTTCAAGGCCTAATTCTTCTGTATTGTAATGATATCTATATATTTTTATTAGATGTGTGGACGAGCTCACAGCCCACCTGATGTTAAGTGGTTACTGGAGCCCATAGACAACTACAACGTAAATGCGCCACCCACCTTGAGATATAAGTTCTAAGGTCTCAGTATAGTTACAACGGCTGCTCCACTCTTCAAGCCGAAACGCATTACTGCTTCACGGCAGAAATAGGCGGGGTGGTGGTACCTACCCGTGCGGACTTATAAGAGGTCCTACCACCTACTACCTATATTTATAACATGATACTGCACTGCGATATAAAATTTTAGACTACACAATTTTTAGTCCCTATTAATGTAAGATTTAAAAAAAAGAATTTCTAACATTTTAATTTCATTTTTCGTAAGGCACTTAGTTCGGATGTAAAATTGTTCCTAAAAGGTTCTAATAATATGATTTACTGCTCATCGGCCTTTAGTTTACAAAAAGGGCAGAGCAAAGTGAAACCTTTTTGTTGGCTTAACCCCAAATACGTACATTACTTTACTAGGTCCGCCGTAACTCAATTTGTATAAGCACTAGAAGAGCTTACAAATGTAAAAGTAAGAGTCTACTACATAATTATGTTTTGCTATTTGTTATTTCTACGCCACAAGGATTATGTTTAGTGTTTAATAAAAAAAAATCTTAGAACAGAAAATTTATACATGAAATATGACATCGTACCCACACATTGAATCCAGAAAACTAACTCTTTTAAGGAGCTATTTAAAATATACTTTAAACAAGATTCCGAAAAACTTTATATTGCTGTCTTTGAATTTAAGGACTCAATTAGAAGGACTCAATTAGAGACTGCAACACAACACATTACATAGTGAACGACTACTAGATACTTGCTTTGTTCTTCTTTATAATACTATTGTTTTGTAATGAAATTCATGGATTATGAATAAAAAAAACAAAAAAAATCTTTTAAAAAAGACAAGCTCGTTTAGTTCTTTCGCTAGATATTTCTCAGTTATAATCCATAGATATATGTATATATATATATTTGCAAACGGTGGTAGATATTACTTTGACATAAGTAAGCGACACAACATTCCATTAGTTCCATTACAAATAAATGTCGAATATTTTATTTTATCGATTTTCCCTAAATATAAGATAATTTGTATCTTCCCGTGAAGTCTCTTTAGAAATTAACCATAATGAAATATTCAACATTTTCAAAACAAACACAATATTATCATGGTAAAGTTAGAGATCACTGACGATTTTGAGTTTAAGTGACTTCATTTGAACGTCATAGTAAAATTTACTTTCAGAACCATCAAGCAAGTGCTTAGCATTATTATTCGTCACAATTTCTTGATATCTAGCCAAGTCTGCTGAGTAAGATGTAATTACATAAATTAACGCGAGCATGCGATCAAAGGGAGCCAAATGGGAAGCCGAGTGCCTACCTCTTAAAGCCTAATTGAAGCGTTCCATTACATTATAATGGCCACCGGTATAATCACATTAAAGTTTCAGAGAGCATACATTGCCACATTGTATTAAAAGTAAAATGAAATATAAACCAGTTTTATTCTTGAATCAAAACAATTTTCCTTTACTAAAACGAACATAACACTATCTTCTTAATGTTAACTAAAAAAAAAGTTTTCTCTTAAAATATTTGTTTAACTTAATCAAATTAACTTATCGTTTTCGCATTTCAGCACCTCGACCTCTTGAAGATACCGGTGTAATTCCGGCACGTCGTAGCTCTTCAGATACAACCCTTCTGTATTCTTCTTCGGTGGTTTTTAGCAGGCTTTCCAGGTCAACAGCTGGACTTGCTTTAGTAGCCGCTTGAGCTGCTTTGTCATCTGATTTTAATTTCACACGAATTTCTTTAACACGGGCCTCTAAAATGTGTTCTCTTCGAGTCTCGCGATCGTAAGTTTGTGTCATTAACTGCCTATCTCGATCACCTGGTATAATTAGATTTTCAGACAAAGATAAAATATAAATCATTCCTTTTCCATCACCTATTGCTATCAAACGACCTTCTTCATTCGGTTTTATCTTCAAAAGTGGATTTTTTGATACTGGTAACACAGCGACAGGCTCACGATATTTACGTAAGATATCCCAATACCGGAATTTGCCATCAACACTAACGGTCATGAAGCTCGAAAATCTTTGTGGAGCCCAAACAGCATCGGTTATTTGGTGGCGATGTGGAATACCTGAGACAATCGGGGAACTTAAGATATCCTCGCTCCAAATGTGAACCGTCCAGTCACCACAAGTTAGAAACATTTTTGATGTACATTGGCTGCGATGAACTGCTTTAACGGGTCCTTTATGTGCATGAAATACTGCGCTCAGCATTTCTCGATGAGTTCTTCCTTTTCTATTAACGTTAATAACCAAACCTGTGTCAGTACCACAGAGGAATCTCGTTGGAAACGCCCTATCATATTGCAAAGAGTAAACACCTTCAGAGTTAGCTAACGTTGCTTGTTCGCCCTGAACAGCATTTACGGACATTATGAGTGTTTCAGTTGGATTCGATAACTGACGGATATCCCACCATTTACAAGAACCATCAGTAGACCCACTAAAAAATTCGTTGTTCTGCCTAGACTGTATGTATACAAGTGCAGAAACCGGATCCCGGTGGGCCAGGTGCATTGGGCTTTTCGCATCAGCATTTTTATTAGACCTAAGATCGAATATACAAACAGTACCGTCTTCTAAACCACCAACTACCACGGATGGATTAATGGGTGAACATGCTATTTCCCAACATGGTGAAGGCGGATAGAACTCATCATTTGGAGCACGGGGATACTCCACATCCCACACATAACACGATAGATTTGAATTAATGGGACCACGAATTGGATATTTTTTATTACAGTACGCCACAACTATTTTGGGATTATCTTCACAAGACCATCCAATACATGCTATTGGGCGATTATCTGTGTCTCTTAAAAGACTATTGATTCGCAAAGCCGATTTTTCTATTAGTTGAGTGTGCGGCATTTTTTTGTAAAACATTTCGTACATTTCTATAGCATTATTTTGCTTAAGATAATGTTCGAAGTTCTCATACTGGTTTAGAATGACTTCAACATAAGTATCTTCTCGTTCAACACGGTGTCGATATCTTGATGTAATTTCCTCGTCTAAGAAATTAATTTCTTTCGGCCAGCCTCCTTCAACATGATTCACGCCTTGTTCTTGAGACGTGATCCGATGCGTGTTTACCTCATTTTCGGATTTTGAAATAATCGTTTGCACTTCTTGATTAACTGTATTTCGTAAACAATATTTTCTTTGCTCACCTTTATTAGGAGCGATAGAATCTATGAGATGAACTGGCACTTCGCAAAACCTTGGCTGCTTTCCAAACTGCTTTCGAAAATTCACATATGGGCGTGATAGATCCATTTTATTTCCCAGAAAAGAAAATAAAGATGTAACCTTAGTAAAAGAGCTTTCGACGTTTAAGAAATTTATACACAAATGACGTTAATTGACAATGAAATCGTGTCATTAGTTTCGTACAAATTGTTTTCTCTTTGTGAATTTAATGTTGTATTTTATAAAGTAGGTTAGACTCGTATCAAAAACGTATTTACTTTTAGGTCAGAATGTTGGACGGTTAAATTTGAGGGGATTGGGTTCTGTAGGTGATGACGGGCTATTTAAAAACAAACTGCTTCATCTATATATTAATACGTGAAGCAAAAACTTTGTATCCCTTTTTACGAAAATTGCGCGGACGGAGGAGTATGAAATTTTCCACACTTATAGAGAATGTAGAGAAAAAGTGCACAATGCTAATATTTTTTTTAAATAATGCATGAAAGATACTTTAAATCAATAAAGAAAACATTACACAGACTACATACTATGTATTTGACGCACACACGCATGCATACTATTTATTGTCAAGCTTTTGTTTTTGGCGTCTGTTGTCAAATTGAGAATAGATTAAATATTCTTTGCCTTTGTTAATATTTTTTATATTGTAGTCTTGGCGAAATTTGTGATTATAGAAGTAAAAAATATAATCATAATAGTGTACAAACTTACAATTCCAATTAATTATAGTCGAATTTCGACTACTGCGGGACCTCTAGTTATAATTATATTGCAGATAGTTAGAACACTGTTACACCATTATAAAATTATTATCTTTATATTTTTTATAAAACTCTTACATGTTTCTTTGACCGTGTCTAGATGAGAAGTTCTGACTTTTGCTTACTAGAAGACAATCATCTGTTTTTTAAACATTTAAAATAATTCTAATATTAGAAATCTGTAATCATGTGTCAAGTGTTGCCTGCCATTACATTTGTATTCAAACTCCAACACAGAAGTTTTAAAATCTTCTAAGTTCTATCAGTTACTATTAATTAGAAGGGGCAAGTATATAACATAAGCTCTTTGTGCTACTGCTTTAACTTCGCAACGATGCGTGGTGGCATTATTTCAGTCTATTTATACCAACCTATCTATCGTAAAGATCTAATGGTGGAAAAGAAAATTGCAATTCTTAGGTGGGTAGCACCATTTTGTTTATTTCTATCCCAAAGTAGATGGGTTACGTAGAACAGCTTTAGGAATTCGTTGAGGGTTTCGGAATAATAGAAACACTCAAAATTCCATATCGGTCAAAGTGTCAGTCTATAGGACTTGAGTGCGTGTGTGTTTTTGGTCATAGACCAAATAGTTATGGTGGTGGCAATGTCACCACACAGCTGCTTTGTTACGGAAATTAAGTCTTCAAACTTGGGTTGCAAGTTGAGAAGCGCCATTCAGGTTTGTGAATGTGGACTGATAACCCTAAAGCCTGGGCTGGTGTTCGATTCTGAGGCGCAATCTGTCAGAATAGAGTGCCCATCAAAACACGATACAATTAGCATACATATATATATTGCTTAGATGGATGGACGATCTCACAGCCCACCTGGTGTTAAGTGGTTACTGGAGCCCATAGACATCTACAACGTAAATGCGCCACCCACCTTGAGATATAAGTTCTAAAATCTCAGTATAGTTACAACGGCTGCCCCACCCTTCAAACCGAAACGCATTACTGCTTCACGGCAGAAATAGGCAGGGTGGTGATACCTACCGAGAGGGCTGGTGGTCGTGGCGCCGACGACCGCCAGTCCGGCGTCCCGAGGGGGAGGGTGATGGGAGAGATGTGCTCCGCACTAAACACTTCACTTTCCCCCCTTTGCCTTTCCATGAGTTCTGTCTCATGTGAGGTTTGGACGTTGGTTGTCGAGCGACAGGAGGTTTTAGTCAGTTCGACTCCGATATGCTCCGCCCGCCGTCCCCAGTGGAGGGCGGAAGTCCGGCGATTTCATCCTGACCAAAAAAAAAAAAAATTGTGGTGATACCTACCCGCGCGGACTCACAAGAGGTCCTACCACCAATAATATATATATCATATGTGTTCAACTACCTAATGAAAAATTCAGGAAAAACTGATAGAAATATTTTAATCTGTCTTTTATAGTTATGTATGTACTACATAGCTCAATCTGAGAAAACACCTTGAAATGTATGTTCAGCTACATTTTCATGCTGAGTAAAACAAACAGCTCAGAACGCTATAAAATCTACTTGGCAATATCGGTAGTCAAATGAAAATATTTCATTACTATCGTGTGTTTGTCTGGACAATTCCTTGTCGAAGGTAATTTTCTTTGTTTTTCCTTAGTATCCGAGCAGTTTCGTTAGCTACAATCCCGCAGTGCATCGTTGAGTCCGGGTTTATCGCTTTGTTTGCGAACAAGGACGTTCCTCGCTCAGATAACTATGTTAATGTTGTAAACACTACTAATTGAATGTCGTACAACAAATATCTCGACTGTTTAACTACAAATTGCTATGTTAAGTTTCGCGTTAAAACTAAATTAAACGATCCACTAAGAGTTGTCTTTTATGTGTGTTTATAGTTAACGAAATTTTTTTTATTGCCTTTGTAGGCAGACGAGCATACGGCCCACCTGATGGTGAGTGGTTACCGTCGCCCATGGACTTCAGCAATGCCAGGGGCAGAGCCAAGCCGCTGCCTACCGCTTAATACTCTCCACAAGCCTCGTTTGAAGAAGGACATGTCATAGCGCTCGGGAAACACCGTGGAGGGGAGCTCATTCCATAGCCGGATGGTACGTGGCAATTATTAATTTAGTAGTAATTAATTTAGTATCCAGCTTAAATATGTATACTTTTTCTATAATACAAATATTAACAAATTAAATACTTACGCAACAAAAAATATTTGTTTGAATATTTGAAATATATGAAACTACGCCCCAAACATGATTTTATTGTTTTATTCGCTACAATTATAACACTGGTGTAGATGAATGTAATTTTTGCGTAGTAGAATTAAATTTACGAAAACATCATTAATTTCACGAAAAATTAATCCCATATCCAAAATACTTTAAATAAATTTAAATGCGGCGCCAACGTCGTCATTAATATTGAAATATGCAGCAACATCAGCTTAATGAGATTTTATTTTTTGCAATTATTTATATACGCTGCGAATACTGCAGGGCATAAGACACGGTAATCCAACGTGTTTACGTCCACATTCACTAATACGCTCATATGTCAATACAACACAAGTCGCTGCTATATTTCCATGTTTCATTTCAGGTAAAAGCTTTTCCTAATATACGTGGCTCGCAAATATGTTATTGCCCCAAGCAGGCAGGGTAAATGTTTAGCTATCGTTCACGTCAAGGCCCCGTCAATATGTAAACGATATTAATGGAGCACACAGGAACACAGCGCATTAAAATATTAAGGACATCAAATATTTCCGATAAAATATTACTTAATTTTTCATCTTGCTACTTCTATTCCGTTTTTTTAAGCCTTTCAAATGTTAATGCTTTTAAAAGTATACTGGAGATACCTGGATTGTAAAATTATTTGCACCCGATTCATAAGTGAAACATAATTCGTTTACAGCTGAAACATACAGCCGAAAGTGTTTCACTTTCCAGTTGACGCAGGCGCTAACTGATTATGACTACGTTGACAGCTTCCTGTATCGCATTGCCGGAAGGGAATCGATGATTACCAATGTGGCTACAACAAAGACATGACGAAGAATACACTCACCATCTGCATTCTCTGGGAGCATTATATTGTTTTCTTTGCTCAAATAGACTAGACTTGTTGCTAAGAACAGTTGTGAACTACGACGTTAAAAAGATAAAACAACGTCAAAATATATCGTTGAAATTTTTTTTATAGGCCCGAGCGGAGCCGGAGCGGGCCGCTTGTCCTTATATAATTGAATATGCAATTTCGAAAAGGGCACATGTCGCATATTTTGTCAAATACGTTTTTTCATATACATGTAGTTTTGAGGCTTACCTACACCCATTTTATAATAATTTCAGTAATTTTCAATTGCTAATTAACACAAAAATATATCTCCAAAGTTAATATTTTAAATTTTACACTGCTTTAGAAAATAATCAGTTTTTTTTTCATTTCCTGAACATTTTACATTTTCAGAGATGTGTCCTTTTCGAAATAGCATATTCAATTATACCCTGCATAATAATTAATGTTATCGTGTCATACATTTTTAATAGTATTAATTGTTTTAATACTTGAAAGCATTTATGGTAATAAACAGAGCATTAATTATCGAAATAAAGGTAAGGGAAAAAACATGGATGCGCTACGAAGCCAATGTAGTTATTTCAAATATCATCATCATGATCATCGGTTGTAGTTAAAGCTAGTACGAACTGGTAGTATCATTCACGCTTGTCAATTGTTTATCGATGAAATAGAATCTAACGAACGCTTCTCTCACAGTCCCTGTAAAATATATAAAAAAGAAACAAAGCATTAGGTTTTCAATTTCGAACTGACGCGTCGACGACCCGAAACTGCCGAAAACAACTAGAAATCGATTTACCGAGTTTGTACAGGTCTATTCCCGAGCAGAAAAAGGGTCGTACAAAAATCATAAACTACAAATTTTTGCTTCTCGCCTTTCGAGTCACGTTTTCGGTTAGGGTCACGTACGTCTTTGTTTTTTTTTCGGACGAGGAGGACCTAATCTGCGACTTTTTGTTCCCGAAGCGTTTGGCTCTTGATAAATCGTCGTCGTAGCACATGGAATGTTGAAAATAATACTACTTTACGGAAAAATTTAATACTGTTAAGGAGTTTTCGCAACACTGTATCATTGTCGTATTCATATGCAGCTTATCTATTGTTTTTTCACTTGAAACTGAAACGGATTACTGGTGGCAGGACCTCTTGTGAGTCCGCATGGGTAGGTGCCACCACCCTGCCTATTTCTGCCGTGAAGCAGTAATGCGTTTGGATTTGAAGGGTGGGGCAGCCGTTGTAACTATACTTGAGACCTTAGAACTTATATCTCAAGGTGGGAGGCGCATTTACGTTGTAGATGTCTATGGGCTCCAGTAGCTACTTAACACCGGTGATCTGTGAGCTCGTCCACCCATCTAAGCAATATAAAAAAAAAAGAAATGCCCTAAACAGATATTCGCTATATTGCGTTCATCATCATAATAATATTTAGATGTAACGCTGAAATAAGTCACTACTTACGAACTGTTATGATATTTTACAGTACAAAATTGATCAATTTTTATTATTAACCTATTGGGTATTCAATGTGAAACTTAAAGACGAAATTTCGATATCTCGATTATGTTGCATCGGTAGCAACCCTACTTTTTAAGTCGAAACGCATAGTTGCTACATAGCAAAAATACTACGCCCTAACTCCAGCTGTTTTTATTCGAGCAAGCTTTGTAACGAGTAAGTTGTAAAGTCCGTGACACAAGTGTCGTTTCTTAGTACGTAGAATATTACTGTTTACACAGGTCCCGGTGGACTAGGAAACGCAAATACGCCTGTTTACTGAAGTCGCTGACAAGTTTACACAAAGATCAGTCCTGCCAACACAGAGCGTCGACCCTTACTTTTACATGGATCTATTTTTAAATACAAACAAACCGTGTTAATTCAGAAAAAAAAATGTTACGTAAATGTTGTATTTTTGAAATTAACCTAGTTCAGTTGTGACAGTATGCTTGTAGGGATAATTGAAATTTCATTTTAAAATCTAGAGTACTCTAAAATTAACCCGTCTTCAGGGTACATTTTTTTTTTTTTTTTTTAAATTAATACTTTACCTTATCCCTTAAACGAGGCTCGGAGAGTAAGTAGCGGCTTGACACGATAACCACACGTGACTAACCTAGTAAAGATTATCTTTGTTCTTTGATGCAAATGATAAATAGAACACGGATGATCATCATCATCATTATCCTGCCCTTCTCCCAGTCACCTGGGGTCGGCGCAACATGTTTTCTCCTTCCATACTCTTCTATCATATACCATTTCTTCGCTCACTCCCCTCCTATCCATATCGTCTTTCACACAATCCATCCATTTCTTCTTAGGTCTACCTCTTCCTCTAAATCCTTCCACATTCATAGTTAACACTCTCTTAACAACCTCATTTTCATTTCGTCTCAATGCATGTTCATACCATCCCAAAACGGATGATATAATACGGAATAATTAGTGATAAATTTGTGAAAATGAAATATTTAAACTAAAAATGTGATTCAGATTAGAAAAAATACAAAGATAAGTATTAAATGGAACCGGATGAAAAGGCTCAAAGTTGTGTCCTATGAAAACATAAACACAACCCGACTAATCTATGTTGTTCGAATTGATTACGCGCCTAAACACAGCTCGCTCAGCTTCTCCGAAAATCAAGGTTGGAAACAAACAGGTCGAGAAACCTTCCATTAAAAAATGTAATTCTCAAAGACACACTTATCGAAAAAAGATCTCATTTAAAATCCCATTTATCTGGTTATCAATTTGAAATTATTTTCAAAAAACCGGGATCTCTTTTCAAAAATACATTGCTGCTCTGTAAAGAACGAAATATATATCGAGGGCTCATTACCCGGTGCTATGGTCTGAACAAATCGTGACGTAGATTCGTGAAGCATAGAATAACGTGGCGTGATGTAATCCAACTAAAAATATTCTAGCCCTAACGGTAATCCATACCATAAAGAAATTGTACATGCTTCAGAGAGAAAGATAAGTTTTTATTTAATTTTTCAGAGATCCATTGTGGAGGTTAATACGGGTTAAGGACTTTGGGCCTCTGTAGAACAGCCGCAAAACTCGTAGCGAAAATGAAACAACAATATTAATGAAAAATGTATTTATTTAGTAACGGTTTTCATTAACAAATTGATTTCAGGTATTGATGTAATTAATTAACTATCAGCCGTGTGAGTTTTTGATGGAGCGCGTTACAAATTGAAATCCGATATGGCATATATGAGTCGTCTATTATCAAAGGTGGCAATCTGTGCATTTGGACAAAAAAATTTATTGATATGTCAATACAGATTGATTTGAATATAATCGTCTCCTTCAAAGAATTCGGTTCAAAACCTGCATTAAATAAAGGTTTATACTTAACCTGTTATTTATCTAAAATGTCGTTCAGAAGAGTTTTGTGACTGCCAATGGAATACAAAGTCAGTAATTCGTTTTTCTGATTTACCAATAATTGTCAAAAAGTCACATTGCCGGCTTTGATAGTAGTCGACTCAATTGAAATCCGATATGGCATATATGGTTGTGAGCTATGTGTGAATATCATTACAGTTATTATAACGCATATTAATATAGTTTACTTAATTATGTGTCCAGTTGAGTTAACATATAATACGGATGAATCAATTAAAATATCCAAAAGTACCTATAATGCACTTTATAATACGTTTGGCATACATAGCTAATAGCGTTGAAATAAAATTCGGTAATTAAATATTAATATAAAATGTCATATCTACAACTAACTTAATCCCGTAATGCTCTGTGATGTAATAACAATAAAATATAATATTTTTTATTAAATTTGTTTGTCTGTTCATTGCTCTGTGTATTGTTGCGAGATAAGAGAGAGAATATCGTTTTCATTTGAATCAAATTTTATTAAACCACAATAGAATGCGGAAAGCTAACAATCACCCCTCGCGTTCCTTGTAAACCATAAATTCGGCATGTCAAATAATATCTAATTGTGCTACAAACAAAGACATGAGTAAAATAAAAAACAATAAAAAAAAACACGAATGTAAAATTTTTAGTCCTATCGTATCTGGAATCTCCAACATTATCAGTTTCGTTTTCGGTAAGAACCCCTATACATACAAACTTGTCTAAAGTCCTCAAAGTCACAGCTATGAGTACCAGGCATCGATTTGTAATTCAGATAACAACTTTGGATTCATTACAGTTATATGCTCCACAGTTGTTGGTCCCATTTACAAAAAAATATATATACACCACACGTTTGCTAGGTTTTATTGTACTGGATTCTTCTATCTTACAGCCGAAACTGCCACAACGACACTTCTTCTGTTCTTACTTCTATTCAATTTAATAAGTCTGTAACTAAATTTATGTTTTTCATGTAAATCTACACTATTTTCACTATCCGCTTTTTCTCGATTAATTCTCACTGTTGGCCTGTTGAGTTTTTCCTTAACTTTTATCCAACGATCGTTTTTCCAGTCGTATTTTTTTCCTATCGACAGTAATATATCCTCGAAAGTCGGCCATTTTGGGTCTTCACTTTTTCTTAGATTTGTTGTAAAACTGTGATTGTTTACATTTATGTGGTCATTTGTAGACTTTTTTCTATCATTAGTACTGTTGTAAACGGTATTAGTGATATTCTTGAGATTAATATTGAGTTTATTCAGTAATGGACTTTCCTGCCCTTGAAAACTTTTTGCAGTGTATTTGTAACGCATTGAATTAATATTGTCATCTTCTAACTTCTCCTCTGGATATTCATCGTAAAATGTTTCGATTTCACGTTCAATTTTATCTGTGAAACAGTTCAAAAAACGTTGAAATACATTGTGTGTGTCTTTAATTGATTTACTTAATATTACGCGGAAAATATGTAGGTTAGCTTCACTCCTTTATGTTATATTATTTTATTGTACATAGAAATATACCTACTGGATGGTATGGGATGGGATACGTTTGGGATGGTATGGACATGTGATGAGACGAAATGAAAATGAGGTTGTTAAGAGAGTGTTAACTATGAATGTGGAAGGATTTAGAGGAAGAGGTAGACCTAAGAAGAAATGGATGGATTGTGTGAAAGACGATATGGGTAGGAGGGGAGTGAGCAAAGAAATGGTATATGACAGAAGAGTATGGAAGGAGAAAACATGTTGCGCCGACCCCGGGTGACTGGGAGAAGGGCAGGATAATGATGATGATGAGAAATATACCTACTATAAAATAGTTTAGGAAGAAACTCTTCATTTTTGAAGTATTCTGGATTTCAACGGTATTTATTAGATGCAATGCTTCTAATATTGGAAACAATTTAATATCAATAATACAGTAAAGAGAAATATCGAATCAAACTAAGCACAAAAAAAAACTTGAGTTGCTCATTTTATATTTGCACGGAAACGCTTTACCTGCCATCCTTTTGTATAGTTCAATATCATGTCTGAGGGTCTCTCTGTCTTTTTCCTTCCACTTTCCGTCACCTCGATCTAAAGAAAATAAATTAAATGATACATTATTGCTCGCACGTAATCCCGCTATGAATAAAAACCTTTTCAGGTTTAGTACAGAATAACGCTCTTAGCAAAGAAGTAATGAAAAAAATACTTCATACGTATATTTATAGAGCTGATATCAAATATGTAAAAATTTTAATGTTCATGGATAACGAATTACAGATGATCTCACGGACTATTGGATGATAGCACTGTTATTTCTTAAGTTCATCAATATAAATGGCGTCACAGTTTTTCTACAAATATACACCTCGACACAGTGACTGTGATTACGTTACTTGAAGGTTACTGTTTTGCTCTGTCAAAACATGTCAACAACTTATAGTTATTAGAACATACTTAGATCTGCATTCAGTTTTATTAGAAAAAAATGGTTACATATACATTTTGACTTAGACTTCAAAAGAATGAAATCTACCTGATTGTTTGAAATAACTAGAACATTGTATTTTCAACCATAAGTCGAAGTTTTAACTGCACAGACCGTGAGCTCGTCTGTTCATCCAATAAATAACATTGAAATATAAACATATACATATATCTGATGTATATTTCGAATGAAACACCATATTGTGCGAGTGCTTCTCGATAGCCTCAAGTAGCTAACCTTCTAATTAATGGCCGAAGAGATACCATTCTATAAGATCCTCTAGGCTGAATTTTTTGCCTGTCTATTCTATGTCTATTTATTCTGGCTTCACCCTGACTGGTCGGTAAGCGAAGCCCAGTCTGAAAGAATTTTCTAACGTCTGCCCTAGCAAGGGCTTCGTAAAATCTACCACCGCCGGATCGAAATCGCGACCAACCGAGAAGATCCCGTGAGAAACTCAGTGGATTGAATCTATGGACCTCCAGGCTTACAATAGTTCGACAAGAGTCAATAACTTACCTATACATAAAACAACGATGATTACGCAGCATGCAGTTTGTAGTACATTGTGTACCATTGTCTCAAAATATATCTTATTATGGGTGCGTCAATCTAGAACAAAGAAATATTGTTCGTTAAACATAATAATAATAATTTGTATAGCGTAAATGATGTTCATGACCACTTATTTCGTAAATAATTATTTTATTTAAACAGCAACTAGTGACTATAATAATAACGCAGTGATTGATTTTCGTCTCGAATAAGCAGAATAGTAGATTACTTTCTAATGATATCCCTCTGCAGAGGGGCTTATTCTGAGCGTTGAGAAAATGCGTTCATTGATATGTTAAGCTGTCAATTTCAATTTTTGAATCAATAAACGACCTTGTTCGTTTCTGACGCGAAGCGTTCGTTTCTTCCGATGCGAAGTCAAATTCAAATTCAAATTCAAAATCATTTATTTCAACTTAGATGTCAGTATGACACACTTGTTGAATGTCAAAATATAAATAACAATGTTAACTTTACCATCGGTTCCAAAAAAAAAGTGTTTCGCAGTGGTCATGAAAAGCTGTTAGGATTATTTGAGTGAAAACTGACTGGGGTACGGTAGTAGTAAAATTTGCCATTAAAATTTGGCCACGTAGTGTGAAAAAAATAGTCTCTTCAGAATCTATTCAATATTTTTTATTGTTTAGATTGGTGGACGAGCTCACAGCCCACCTGGTGTTAAGTGGTTACTGGAGCCCATAAACATCTACGATTACGTCGTATTACGAAAAATAATTAAAAGTAAGCATCTACTATGTCATTTGGTGTTGTTTACCTATAGGGCGTTTAGAAACAACCCATCTCAGTAATAATTATTATTAACCAAGTAGAAACGTTATCTCATACGAATTTTACGAGCAAAGCAAAAGCTTTATATATGCATTTTTACTTATGGTTAATTCACCTTACGCCCCGTTTTACGCCATCGCTTTTGCATAGTCCCATTTTACGTAGTGAAGGCAGGATTGTTTAAACAAGCGATTGTTTTTATTTTTTAGAGAATTTAAGTAGTTCTTTACATTGTACAAATCAAATCAAATCAAATAATTTTTTTTTATTCAACATAAGTACAGGGTAACTGGGACACGTTGCAAAATGCCGTTTGCGAAGTTAATTGTACTTAAATATCACCACCACCACCCTGCCTATTTCTGCCGTGAAGCAGTAATGCGTTCGGCTTGAAAGGTGAGGCGGTCGTTGTAACTATACTTGAGACTTTAGAACTTATATCTCAAGGTGGGTAGCGCATTTACGTTGTGGATGTCTATGGGCTCCAGTAACCACTTAACTCCAGGTGGGCTGTGAGCTCGTCCACCCATCTCAGCAAAAAAAAACCTATAGGTCAAACCTCAATTGCATTATTAGCAGCTGCCCCACATTTCAAACTAGAACACATTAGTGTTTCGCGACAAAAATTATCAAGTATGGCGGTACCATTACAGCCTACGACTGGTACTAAAAGTTTAGTACACTGCTTGTCTCTATGACAATCGTCCCTGGATTTTTGTTATTAGATATGTACATACAGACGAGTATACACTTGATGACACCTGAAGTTCCACTTTAATAGTAAAATAGGATCATCTAATAAAGAAGTCAACTTTTCAAGTATCCATGTAACCAAACTAGATAAAGTATGTAGTAGTAGGCATGCAGTTTTCCATGAATTCCCTTTTAAGATCATGAAAAAAAGATGATAATATTAACTTTTAAATTTTTTATTACGTAATCAATCGCTTTTCATCTAAGAACCTCTAGAAAATTTGAATCAATTAATTATTTCATTATTAATGATTAAGCCACACAAAGAAATCCCCCGTAATTCTTTCATTTAAAAGGCTATTGAACTTATTAAATTATTGAGCGCCTTGTTTTAGCTATTTCATGAGAAAGCCATCAATGACTGATAAATAAGGAACATTTCAGTCGTAAAATATTTTTAGTGATTCTTTCGAGTTTATTTTTATTGCTCTTATAGGCAGACGAGCATACGGCCCTCCTGACGGTGAGTGGTTATGGTCGCCCAAAGACGTCAACAATGCCAGGGTCGGAGCCAACTTACTGCCTACCGTTAAGTACTCTCCAGTATTTCATTAATTACCTCATGTTAAGCGATCGTCAGAGCTGATTCACATCATTAATGTGAGTGCTACCATCCGGATTGAGATATTATGGATTACATTTATTAAAACTAGTGGTGGCCCAGTGGTCGAAATTCGGCTATAATTATTAATTTAAATTAAGAGTTTGAACATTATTAATTTAAGTTAAAAAAAATCCTTTTTTTTATTGCATAAGTGGGTGGACGAGCTCACGGCCCACCTGATGCTAAGTGGTTCCGGGGCACATAGACATCTACCGCCGTAAATGCCACCACTGAGCTTGAGATATGAGTTCTAAAGTCTTCGTTTTTACAATATAACGTCTGCCCCACCCTTCAAACTGAAACGCATTACAGCTTCACGGCAGAAATAGGCGGGGTGGTGGTACCTACCCGTGCGGACTCACAAGACGCCCTACCACCAGTAGTTACGCAAATTATAATTTTGCGGATACTTTTTTATATCACGTTAACGTGGCACACATATTTAGTACACGGTGGTTTTGCGTTTCCTTCACAGTGGAAGTCAGTCGTGAACATTTATCAAGTACGTACTAGGTATTTCATTAGAAAAATTGGGACTTGCCTGTGGGATTCAAACACCGTTGCATCGCAAGTGACGAATGCACCGGACGCCTTATCTTTAGGCCATGACGACTTCAAAACTTACTTCTATAATCACAGCTTTCGCCGAGGTTACACTATAGACAAATATTATTAAAGACAAACAATATTAATCTTTTCTCAATTTAACCACAGACCATAAAAATAAACAAAAAAGTATACATACTTAGTCTGACCATAAATACTGTTACAATTAAAAATAAACAAAATATTACATTTGAATTTGGAATCTGTCATTTTTATATGATTGCTCATTGAGTTTTCTCATTTTGGCGCCAATACATTGTACAATATTTTGCGATATTAAAATGGAGTAGGGTGATAAAGAGAACCGAATTGCTGTGATTGCATTACACAATGTAGGTATGGAGCCAAATGCAATTTTTAAAACTCTTCATACGCTTGGTATTAGTAAAATGTTTGTGTACCGGGCTATTAATAGGTGCAATGAGACCTCCTCTGTTTGTGACAGAAAAAGATCTGGCCGTCTACGTAGTGTTCGTACGAAAAAGGTGGTCAAAGCAGTAAGGGAAAGGATTCGAAGAAATCCTGTTCGAAAGCAAAAGATTTTATCCCGGGAGAAGAAGATAGCACCTAGAACTTTTTTTTTTTTTATTGCCCTTGTAGGCAGACGAGCATACGGCCCACCTGATGGTGAGTGGTTACCGTTGCCCATGGACTTCAGCAATGCCAGGGGCAGAGCCAAGCCGCTGCCTACCGCTTAATACTCTCCACAAGCCTCGTTTGAAGAAGGACATGTCATAACGCTCGGGAAACACCGTGGAGGGCAGCTCATTCCATAGCCGGATGGTACGTGGCAAAAAAGATCTCTGGAAACGCACTGTGGATGACCACAGTGGCTCCAGGTAGTACGGATGAACTCTACTCCGATGGCGGGCGGTGCGATGGTAAAACGAACGTTTCGGACTTCATCAGAGCTGAAGACTGGCTAGTCCGATCTTAATCCGCTGGATTATGATTTATGGTCAGTTTTAGAGATTAGGGTTTGCTCTAAACGCCATGATAATTTGGAGTCCCTAAAACAATCCGTACGATTGGCAGTGAAAAATTTTCCCATGGAAAGAGTGCATGCTTCTATTGATAACTGGCCTCAACGTTTAAAGGATTGTATTGCAGCCAACGGAGACCACTTTGAATAAGCTTTTTATACTTAATTTTTTTTTATATTTATGTATTAAACTAACACACTGCAAAAGTAATAAATGTTATTTGCAATAGATTTTTTTTTTTTTAATTGTAACTGTATTTATGGCCAGACTAAGTATATGCGTGTGCGGGTCAGATGCATGTTAATGTGTGTATTTTTTTTTAAATGAATTAATGTTTGATTTTCATTACACGATGCTAATTTATCGTGGATCGGTCTTAAGTAGGTTCGATAGTTCCATCGTATAAACTACAAAGGATATTAACAAATGAACACTTATTTATTTAATTCTAGCAAGCTGTTCAATTCCGACTTTCTACTTTTTACTTACAAAAAAAAAATTGGCCTAGTTCAGTTTGTGTCTTTTAGTATTTGCTAAAAATTACAATTTTAGAAAAAAGTTTATTTAAATGTAGGGTTAAAATCACCATATCATATAAAGTCAAACCTGGATAAGCGAGAGTTCAAGGGAGCACAATCTCATTCTCGCTTATAGAGGTTTCTCACTAACCCGAGTTTTTCGCTAATGCACCCTCTGAATTTCATTTCGCGATTTTCCGGATTCAAACGCATTCACTATTTTAAGTTGATCACTTAATGACAGTACTTTAATTTTTCGTTTTGACATGATGCAAAACAGAACTTTCCTTCGCAATTTATTAACGATAAACTGAGTAAGTCCGACAAACAGGACGGTACATAGGCACACGTGTCCATTCGAAAAGAATGCGATAAAATAACAACGTTATTTAGTTCCATGAAATAGAATAGGTTCAATATTGTCGAGAAAACAATGCAAAAACAATGATAAGAAGTTCCACGAAAGTTAAGAATGAGTCATAAAATAGCAGGTGTTAAATTTGTAATTTGTTTTGTCATTTATTCCTCCTGAATAATATAAATAAATAAAGCTCGACTGTCGCTTATAGAGGTATAGATAAGTAGCAGTCTCACTTACGGAGGTCCACGAGGGAAAAACGACTCTCTCTTACAGAGGTTTCTGTTTCTCGCTAATAGAGGTTTTGGGAGCTTAAAATGACGGGTCCTGGCTATTACTCTCACTTGTAGAGTTTCCTCACTTATCCAGTTCTCACTTACCCAGGTTTGACTGTATTTATTATTAATTTAAGCATTTTAACATTTTTAGTATTAGCACAACAAACTTAAAAATGACTTGATTCATTTGTCCCTCACCTTTTATCATTTCCAGACTGTTTGCATGAAAGTAAACGAAAAGGGAAAAGGCTTTCGCATTTAAAAGGCGACACTCACTTTTTTAAATTTCTCGCAATTACCGGTGACGGCTGTACCTAAGAGATGTGGCGACTTTTTAATTTGTTTTAGACCTACTTTTTTTACTAAAGCATTCTCGACATCATCTACACCCGGTGCGATACTTTTTTCTAATTACACGCTTAACTTACTTGAGTAAGGCGTTACGGAAAAACCGTTGTTTTAGTGAAAGACTAAACACGAAATCGAAACATCTTAGAGTCAGCAATTGCATTAAGAATTATATGTTTTTTTTATATATTTTTATTGCTTAGATGGGTGGAAGAGCTCACAGCCCACCTGGTGTTAAGTGGTTACTGGAGCCCATAGACATCCACAACGTAAATGCGCCACCCACCTTGAGATACAAGTTCTAAGGTCTCAAGTATAGTTACAACGGCTGCCCCACCCTTCAAACCGAAACGCATTACTGCTTCACGGCAGAAATAGGCAGGGTGGTGGTACCCACCCGCGCGGACTCACAANGTTAAGTGGTTACTGGAGCCCATAGACATCCACAACGTAAATGCGCCACCCACCTTGAGATACAAGTTCTAAGGTCTCAAGTATAGTTACAACGGCTGCCCCACCCTTCAAACCGAAACGCATTACTGCTTCACGGCAGAAATAGGCAGGGTGGTGGTACCCACCCGCGCGAACTCACAAGAGGTCCTACCACCAGTAATTACGCAAATTATAATTTTGCGGGTTTCAGTTTTATTACACGATGTTATTCCTTCACCGTGGAAGTCAATCGTGAACATTTGTTGAGTACGTATTTCATTAGAAAAATTGGTACCCGCCTGCGAGATTCGAACACCGGTGCATCGCTTCAACACGAATGCACCGAACGTCTTATCCATTAGGCCACGACGACTAGAATATATGTGAATGTCTACCAACAATTTTTTTGCCTAAATTTCCATTAGCCATAATAAGGAATGTGGATTTGAAGTTTATATCCAGACGAATGTTATACTCGTACATATTTTAACTAGCTTTCTAAATTTATCAATTAACTTTTTTTTATAATAAAGTAGATAAAAGTGTTGTCATGGCAACGGAATAAATAAATACTGAGAAGAACAGTTTTTTTTTCTATTTTTACTAACTTTTTCTTAGTCTCTTCTGTATTTATTTTTGTTCTTATAAAAAAAAGTGATTCTTATTTTTACATAAACACCCCTTCTGTGGTATTTGCCTAAGGGCTTGAAACGGCTACTAGAGACAGGATTTGATAACTTTCCAGCATCCTTTGTCCTTGACCACGATATGTCCCGCGAAAGCGTCAGAAATATTAGTCTAGTTTCGTAATGCCTTTAGTATGGAAATTTTATCAAGATACACAGTGAGGATACTTCTAAATTGGGCTTTCATAAAAGTAATGTTCTTTGAACACACTGAAGTATTGTAGGCATAAATAGGCAGTAACAGCTATATATATTTATAAGTATATTTAGTATGTAAGTATATTTAGATAGCGTTCTAGAAACAAAAAAGTCGGTTTCGAACATACTATGTAAAACATGTCTATGTAAAACATAAGATTAACGCTTCGCCAATGGGATGAAATCATCACCACCTACCATTTCGACACTCAAGAGTAATTAATCAAACAGATCGTGTGTTAGAATTATTTTACAAAGAATATAAAGCAAAACTCTTTGTTACTCGTACTTAGTACTTATTACTTAGTATATAGTATGGTTCATTAAATAGTAAAAAACGAAAGATTGACAACCAAATTATTATATGTAATGTTTACTGTATGCACTAGGTTGGAGTTCATAATTCTTCTCTCCTTTTGCGGGCCTACTGGAAGAGATTTCAACATGAAATAAGTAGTGCCCCTGTACTCTGTATCCTTATTGTTGTGTTTTTACTAACAGCTGTGTGTACAAAATATATTAAATAAAAAATAAACAAATAAACCAATCTCAAATGAAGATAATTAATTTTAAATGGGCATGTAAGTGAAATTTATAATTTTTTTTTTGAACATCAACAATAATAAACAATAGTTAAAAAAATCCAACTAAAAAATTGAAAATAAATTTATTATAGAAAAGCGTAATATAGGGAGTTAACTGCTTAAAATATTGCATTGTCACCTGTCCTTGACAAGTATGCCAAATTTCGAGTAATTCTGACGTTTTGATGGGGTCAAATCATGTTCAAAGATTCCGTTACATACTAACATAGATACTAACATACGTATGAAGCTAATAAAAGCGTATCTAAAAATACATTTAGCTTTCAACAATATTTTTATGGTCTGTGGCTTACATTCATTTTGATGCTTAAATAAGGAAATTAATTGTGTATTTATAGATATCAGTATCAGAAAATCACTATTCACGCTTCAGGTAAATTTTATATACTAAATGTAACTCAAGGTGGGTGGCAGCATTTACGTTGTAGATGACTATGGGCTCCAGTAACCACTTAACGCCAGATGGGCCGTAAGCTCGTCAACCCATGGATGAATTTAAAAAAAAAAAGATGTGTGGTGTCGTGGGACATCGGATAGGAACGAACTTCCTTATTATAAAAATATGAATTTTAAGTTCTATTCGAGGTATACAGAAAATAAAACTGGAGGTTTCGCAACAACCCACGGTCATTCTGTAACGTGCGAACTTATCGTGATACACATCATTCACGGTTGTTTGCATGAGTGTATTGCGCAAATGAACGCTCTGAGATCGTGGTCAATGAATGATAAAAAAATATGTTATCTTTTGTACGTTATTACAAAGCTAAATCGTACACTGTGTGCATTACTAATAAAAATCTTACGTTACGGACGTTTTTTCCCGGTTAGGGTACACCTCCGCATCGTCCCATAAGGAACTTCGTTCCAAAAATCTCGATTCAAGGGAGAAAACAAAAACTTTTCGCCAAAAATTATTTCAAAAAACCAAACAAGCTCTTCACGTCTAAATATAACTAGATACGAAAGACCTTTGTGCTTGAGAAGAATGTGTGGAACCAAGAAACCCTTTCTATTTTAACGAACCAAATCTCGTAGGTATTCAATTTCAAATGATACTTACCAACTCAATTAGACTCGAAAAACCAAAACGAAATTAACATTCTGATGTCTAAAGCAAATCACGCACATCAAAACGCGAAACGAAACAAACTTTAAGCGATTTAATTTCAAAGAATAACCGAACTCGTTCACAAACTTTATTTGGTTATTTGAATTTTTAGAATCCCGCCGACACGTCTGCTCCGTCCCGTTTCCCGGACTCCACTGAAAGCCTATCTTTGTAAGTTCTATACTCACAGCCCCTTCGTGTACCATCCCCTTTGTTAGTGTATCTTTAAAAACGGTCGCATCCATTGCTTACCCAAAAGCCATGATTAAAACAGTCTGAGTAATAGCGCAATGCACTGTATGCGGTGTAATATTTCAGTTTGGATGTATAGGTAGACGATTGAAGTTTATCCTCCGAGTAGACACCCGGTGTATCACCCTAAAAATATAACAGCATGTACTCATATCATATAGTGCATTCTTTTCAAATCAGCTGCTGCCCTTTTAAGTAATTATTATTTAAAAGCATTTTCCATGTTTTTTTGTACAAATGGATGAACGAACTCATAGCATCTTGTCTTAAGACGTAATGGGAGTCACATACGCGAATGCCACTACCAAGCTTGAGACATGAAGTAGAAAATTACAGTAAAAATCCTGTATTACCTTACAACAACAAAACATAATCATTTCACCGATAGGCTTAATGAAAAAAGTACAAAATTTAGGTCAGGTAAATTTAGATGTTAACAATGTTCTTTAAGATAAGAGTTTGCGATTCTAGCCTTATCAAATTACTGCTTCCCTATCATGAAGTATCTAATAGCAGTATTCTTATCTACTTCCCTAACATACCCTTGATTTCCTTGTTGTGATTCAGAGTCAGGTAAGTTCGCATGCCTAGCTATTTGTTGCAAAATCTTGCGTTTGAAGATTAGGTTATTTTTTTGTATTCCGAGGTATTTAAAGTTTCAGATTTGCCTCAATGTGGATGGTCAAATTCATGTTTAAGTGTGCATGAATTCAGTCAACCGTTTATAAGCTTTTATTTTTTTAATTAAAAAAAGCTACAGTAATATATAGTAAAACGAAATTACGATTAATAAAAATAATTCTCTAACCAAACCATAACATTTAAATGAGCCTTCGTCTGGTCTATTGTTCTTAATGCAGTTAATCCGTGCTTGAATTAAATCAACTCGCCTTTATTCAAAGGGCGGGGAAGCTATTTTGAGCTCCACATCTATAAGAGACTTTTAATTTATCTCTTGCATTTAAAAACTAACAATTGCTTTTTGTTAGGACATCATGAATTTTGGAGTAATTGACATTAATCTCTCATTGTCGAAGCTGTAAATTAAATTAAGCTATCTCGGAATCGAAACTATACTACTACTACTACTACTACTATTCCTCCTCGTTCCTATTCCGTTCCTATTCGTCCTCTACCTTTCTTTTGTTCTGGCAAGCTTAATGCGATTTTCACTAGATGGTCTTCGTCCCGTCTCATGATATGGCCATACCATCTAAGGTGATTTTCCGATATACATATATATATACATACATACATACTATAAATACATACTATATATACATACTATACATACATACTATACCGTTTTTCTTATTATTTTTGGATGGACACGATTAAATATCTATACAACGAAACTTGACCCAGACGTGTTTCCTTACTGAAGCGAGGAAAAAATCGCTTTGAACAGAACGAAATCATTAGAGCGGTTGTCGCATACAAAAATGTCCATTACGGGAACCCTCTTCAAATTCTAAGCTCGGAGCTTTTGTCTTTTGCGTTATTTTTTTGTTACTCTTTTCAACCTTCAGGATTTTCAAAGCTTACGTTGTATATATGTTTTTAACATGTTCCTTTACAAAGAGAATATCTTACTTGCAACATAAGACACTAACATATAAAGTGTTTTTTTACATGATTATGAATAGTTGAATGTTTTTTTTTTCAAAGACTGATGATTGTTATTATTTCTTCTTCTCAGTCGTGTCTCTCTTGACAGAGTGGTCGTGATCGTCATGTAGCGGAAGGCCACCAATGCGATGGACCGACCAAATTAAAACTGCAGTGGGAGGTCCCCTAAATGAGTGCAGTAGAATAGCCTAGAGCAGGGAGAGATGGCGCGACATCGTGAGACGCATCAAGTCTGCCCCTTCCAACACTACATGACGATTGTTATTATAAGTGTGTATTATTTACAATCCGATCATAATTAGAGTAAATAGAAGTCCCGCAGTAGTCGAAATTCGACTATAATTAATCGGAATTGTAAGTTTGTACACTATTATGATTGTATTTTATACTTCTATAATCACCAATTTCGCCAAGACTACACTATAAAAAATATTAACAAAGACAAACAACATTTAATCTATTCTCAATTTGACAACAGACGTCAAGAACAAAAGTTTGACAATAAATAGTATGCATACGTGAGTGCGTCAAATACATGATATGTAGTGTGTGTAATGTTTTCTTTATTGATTTAATGTGTCTTTTATGCATTATTAAAAAAAAATATTAGTATTGTGCACTTCTTCTCTATATTCTCTATAAGTGTGGAAAATTTCATCCTCCTCCGTCCGCGCAATTTTCGTAAAAAGGGATACAAAGTTTTTGCTTCACGTATTAATATAATAATATAGATAACAATATTCGAGATTTGAATTAGTGAAATATTCAATATAAATTCAGTCGTCGGACATGATGGTGTAAAAAATCATCCGATACTGTCTTAGCTCGAGCTATTTTGGTAGATCGTTAATCAATTGTTGGAGCGGAAAACTGATAAGGTCGGCCTTTCGCCAATTAACTTAATGGTGATTCTTTTTGGGTTGCCATCAAAACAATGACCGTATTTTTAGGTTTGTTCCGAAAGAAACCGATAGTTTTCTTATTTTCTTAGCGAAATATTAATTTTTAAATTTGTGGAATATAATAAGTGAACAAATCCTTAATTCACCTGGTATTAAATAATTCATCTTTAGCCATAAGAATTGAACATAAACAGATACCAATCAATGTACACTGTACAAGTCTCACGAAGAATCACCTTCGGATACTGTTGCCGGTTATGAATATAGGTTAAGACAAAACTTCCAAAACGTATCTTCTGTTGAAAACGTGCCGTGAATCAGACGTGGCTTTGAATTGTGATGAAAATTTTATGAAAAGAATAAATCTGTACAGACATTCAAGGTCCCGTTAAAATGGATTAAAAAAAAATCCTTTCCCTAATTTTTTATTAATATACCAAATTAACTGGATTAAATTAAGAATATCAATATGAAAATTTGTATTGGAGAATTTCGACAAGTAATTACCGATCGATATAATAATTAATTATTTATTTCAATCTAAGACAAATTACATAGTATTAATTAAAATAAATTGCAGCCATTCAAAGACACTTGTGGACCGCTTGTCTTATATAGAAATATCAGGTCCAGAAAGTGACATGCCTAATTTATATGTTTTTAAATAAACAATGCTATCACGCTCTCTGACTTTCTGGACATCAAAATTTGATGATAGTATTGATCAACTAAACTTTACATATCCGACTAGCGAATTGCGACTATCTGTTAATATACCGAGAGGGCTGGTGGTCGTGGCGCCGACGACCGCCGGTCCGGCGTCCCGGGGGGAGGGCGATGGGAGAGATGTGCTCCGCACTAAACGCTTCATTTTCCCCCCTTTGCCTTTTCATGAGTTCTGTCTCATGCGAGGATTAGACGTTGGTTGTTGAGCGACAGAAGGTTTTAATCAGTTCGACTCTGACATACCCCGCCCTCCAACCCCAGTGGAGGGCGGAAGTCCGGCGATTTCCTCCTGACCAAAAAAAAAAAATATCTGTAACTATCACTAAGCATATCACAAACAACTGTATTGTCAACAAACAATATTCTCTGAATAAACGTTCGAAACTTCAACTTAATCGTATAAACAAACGATGAACGCTATTTACAATTAATGTCAAAATCACATCTATAATTTCCTTTAAGTTCACCTCTCTACCTTCTGGGACTTTTTGGCGGGAACGCGAGGAGAGATGTGTTATTTGTTTTATTTAGTGTTTCTTCAGGTTCAAATGTGTAATAACGGTGGTTTATTAACTATTTTATATCTGTGAAAGTGCACAAATGTGGGAAAATGAAACAAAGCTGCTGGACGTAACTACTCGAGATCTTCCAAAAAGTCCACTGAAAAACCTCTGTAAATGACCACCGTTTTACTGAGATTACAATATTTCATCCCATATCAACTCATCTTATTTCATTCAATTTCATCCCAGTTGATTAGTGTCTCAAATTAATCATCTTCATTTCATTTCAGTCCATATTACCATTTTTCATAAAAATAAGATAAAAAAATCAAATAAGACATGACTTAAAGGTCTTAGTTACCAGGTCATCAAATCCCAATAAATAAATCTCTACCTTCTTCTGATTTTAAATATCCGTGTGCCCGTTTCATGGCTCATTGAGACACTTATAAAAGGGTCCGAAGTAATAATAAAACTGTCAATTTTAACACCGTCATCAAACTCGGAGTAACGCTCAAAACTTTATTATGTGGCACTTAAAAATTTGATGAACTCTCCAAAAGGAAATACTCGGTCGTTAAAATTATTAAAACGTGTCACGGAAGACAATTCAATTTGAAATTAAATTAATTAAAATCTTTATGCATTTATTTGGTCGTTCCATAAACATTTTAATGCCTACATAGTTCGTAAAGAACATATAATTTTGATTCGGTATTTAATACCGAAAACACTTTCGTGAAAACCATGATATGAAAGAAAGAATAGAAAGAAGAATATAATTTAATAGTCACTATAAATTCTCAGGAACTAATTTCAAAAAAAACAAATGAAAAATGTATCGATGACGTCACGTCGTAGTGGTGTCAGGTAGTAACTAAAAATTATCACCAAAACTTAATGCTTTAGTAAAGACTAATAGTGAAGACTAATACATTTTATAAAACAGTTCAATTACCAAACGATTAATCATTAAAATAAATATCTATATACATAATATATATTTTTTTCATTGCTTAGATGGTTGGACGAGCTCACAGCCCACCAGGTGTTAAGTGGTTACTGGAGCCCATAGACATTTACAACGTAAATGTGCCATCCACCTTGAGATATAAGTTCTAAG